GCTGACATCCCATAGTTCATATCAAGTCATCATCATATTCGCATTTTATGCCAAATTCCTACGGAATTAGAGTTTTAAATATAGCATTACATTTATCCATATTAATTAAAAAAAAAAAACTCCAAGCAAAAAAAATAGATTAAAATGCGAAAGATATGTAGAGGTACTACATTGTGAATTTCGTCGGTGTAGCAATCAGCTGTTTAGCTTAGTGGGCGCGATCCTTGAATACGTGGGTTTTATTCCCGTGGTGGCTACAAATTTTAATATTTCACCTTAGTGCAGAGATTAACATTATAATAAGTTAATATAAAATTTTTATTAAATTCTGTTTGACTCAAGAGTTATTTGAATTTTTTTTTAATTTCGCGCCTAATTATACGTACGGCAGGGTGCTAATAATTCAATCTTAGTCATAAAATGGCCTATCTTAACGTTATGTTGACGGAGTTTGATATCATTACAGTAGTGCACATTCATTAATTACAGCCGCATTACTAGTTATTAAATGGGTGCTTAAGACATTAGTAATGGATAGTCATAACAGAATACGTAATCGTACATGATTACGAGCTAGTTTTAAACCAATTGGCCAATTAGGTAGCTGGGTTCTTGAGCAGTCAAGTTCAATGCTATGGCCTCAGTTAACACTCCAATGTTTCACAGGTTTAAGGTACTAGACGACTTGGCCGCCTTACCGCTTGGAATTAAGACTCCAAGGCGTATTGTCTTTATTGGACCGCAAGTAAATTTTATCATACATGAAATCTTACAAAATCCCATCGACCTACAAATAACTAAACCATCTCGATTAAGCTGTTGTCTCCATACAAGACATCTTAGTTAAATTCTAAGCAGTGATGGTCATAACAAATACGATTAACCAATTATATCGCATAATAGTTTGTAGAAAAAGTACGAAAAGATTGTTGCCGCTATGGGAATCGAACCAACGTCTTAGGCATTCGCGGCCTGACGCTTTAGCCACTAAGCTAAACGGTTGATTGCCACACCGACGAAAATCTTAAATACTTTTATCTACATTGTTTTTTAGCATTTGAAGCAATGCTTGGCGCACCCATTGTTATATCCTTTCCAGCACACAAACAATTTCGAATATCGTTTTACAACGATAATTCGAACGAGAGAAGTCGCCATTGCTTCTGTAGAAATTTAAATTTTTTATAGTACTAATCTTTGCACAGTAAATAACATTAATGGGAAGTGAATAATGAAAAATGTCAATATCGCATTTAGTGTTAAGCATGTTATATCCATGACATATTCTAATAAATGGACTGTTTATGTCAATGTTTGTGCGAACTTAGGGAATTGTTATTGAAGATTTTATTACGTGTTTTCTAGACATTGTACGTCGGACATTAAGAGTTATTTTACTTCTTATACATATCATATTTATTGATGTTATTTACTTATATGTTTATAACATAATGAGATCCTTAAATTTGCGCCAATCGCCTAGTGTAATTTGCAAAGTCACAGCGGTGTCTAATACCGGGAGAATTAAATTCCAGGTGCCTTTTCGTGAATGAATGCTGAGTTCACGTGGCCAATGGAGGTACATTTCATGAGGGGCTGCCTAGGGCTTTATTTCTGTCCCACCTACTTCGTTGATGTTAAATGCAGTATAGCTCAGTTAAAGTCTATTCACTCTAGCTTTCAATACATGGACGGTATCACATAATGAATGACAAAGCAGAACACTTGGTTCGAGTGCGTGAAATTTCATCAAAGAGCGATGGATTTGTGCCTAGCGTCAAGTCATCTAAAGATGGATGGGGGAGACAGTAATTAAGACAATAAGCGGCAATAAAATATATGTTCCTTCTGTTTGAAATTTCAACTTTGTATTGAATTTCGATGCAATGTTACTCACGTTAAATTTTTTGTATAATAAATGCTTGTTGATCATGCTTTATACAAAGGTACACGATAATGGTTTTGATTTTGATTGTGTTAAGATTTGAATAGTAAGTAACAACGGTAATTTTTATTTCGGTATATGGAAATTAAGGTTAGAAATAAATTGTAAAGAATTAAAATAGGCAAACAACGTAGTCAAGTTTTACCCGTGCAAAGCTAAAAGCTGTATAGATCTTCACATTTAAAATAATTTTTTCATGCTGCTAACAAATGCGGGTTTTCTATGTTATTGAGCGACCGATATTCATAAGTCGAGTGGGCCCGATGGCATCCCTCCGATCGTGTTGAAGACATGTGCTCCAGAGTTGGCACCGGTTTTGACGCGTCTTTTCCGGCTCTCCTATACTCTAGGCGTATTCCCGAAAACCTGGAAGGCCGCTTTAGTGCACCCGATCCCTAAGAAAAGAGAGCAAGGGGGAGGCGCTTGCAGCCAGTCTGGACGTAGCGAAAGCCTTTGATCGGGTGTGGCACAAAGCACTTCTTTCGAAGCTGCCTTCCTATGGGCTTCCCGGGAAGTTATGCAACTGGATCACTAGCTTTTTGGCAGATCGGAGCATCAAGGTCGTCGTCGACGGTGCATGCTCTGATCCTAAATTTGTCAATGCTGGTGTTCCACAAGGCTGCGTACTGTCCCCCACTTTGTTTCTTCTGCATATCAATGACATGTTGCAAATCAGCAGCGTTCATTGCTATGCGGATGATACTGTGACTGTGGATGTTTCGTACACAGGCCGTGCTAACATTTCTACGAGGAAAACGTCTACGAGAGCCGGAACAAACTTGTGTCTGAAGTCGAGACTTTGTTAACAAAAGTCTCAGACTGGGGTCGACTAAATTTAGTCCAATTCAACCCCGATAAGACACAAGTTTGCGCGTTAACCGCTAAAAAGTCCCCATTTGTCGTGACTCCTCATTTTGAGAACACTCCCCTGTCTGTCACAGCTAGTATCGGAATACTTGGCGTCGAAATCTCGAGCAATGTCCAGTTCCGTGGTCAATTCGAAAGTAAGGCCAAATTGGCTTCAAAGAAACTCGGTGTGCTCAGCAAGGCGAGACAGTACTTCACGTCAGCTCAACGCCAAAACCTTTATAAGGCGCAAATTCGGCCCCACATGGAGTACTGCTCTCACCTCTGGGCGGGAGCCCCCTGTTACTAGCTTCTTCCATTTGACCGCATCCAACGAAGGGCAGCTAGGGTTAACGACGATCAAGGTCTTTCCGATCAGCTTGATCCTTTGGCTATGCGTAGAGATGTTGGGCCACTCTGCATCTTCTACCGCATCTATTACGGGGAGTGTTCCGAGGAATTGTTTGGATTGATCCCAGCGGCTGAATTTCACCATCGGACATCGCGCCAAAACCAAAAATTTCATCCACACCACCTCGATGTCCAGCGTTCCACACAGCGCGATTTTCAAGGCATTTCCTGCCTCGCACAACCACTCTGTGGAAACCAGCTGCCGCCGGCGGTCTTTCCGAACCGTTACGACCTGGGAACCTTCAAGAAGAGAGCGTACTCATTCCTAAAAGGCCGGCAACGCATTTGTAAGCCCTCGGGTGTTGCAGATGTCCATGGGCGGCGGTGATCACTTACCATCAGGTGAGCCTCCTGCTCGTTTGCTGCTTTTTTCCCATAAAAAAAAAATATTTATAATTAAAAATATTTCTCTATTATATAAAAAGGACCTAGTAAACTGAACGATTTTTATCGTCATCAAAGTTGAATTTGTTAAATCCTTAGTATTTTTAGTTCGTAGGATTAGATTTTGTTTGTTTAACAGTATGTACAGGTTGTACAACTTGCACTGTATCAACTATGTGTGAAAGAATGAGGACGCGTAAGTAAATGGCTGTGTAGAGATCAATTATTTTACATTTTCATAAATTCTAACATTAAAACGATTCCGTTTGAATAATAATAATCTAACTGTTAGGATTCTCAAACATAGTTTTTTATACTTTTAACATTTTGCAGTTTGTTTCATATATCGCATTCGAGTTTTTGTATCATTTTTATACGTGGTATATAAATATATAAATACTTTTCTCTTTAAATTCCAAACAAACATTGGACAGCGACGAAAAGAAAACGAAATCATTCGATATAATCACATAACGAATATTCCACTACCGTATTTCACTTCCATATTCCGTAGCAACAATCAACTCTTGGCGATAATTCTGAAGAATGCAATAAAACGAGCCATAATTATTATAATACCAAATTAATGTAACAATCTGATATTAATTACGAAAACATCTAATATGCACTGGAAGTCGTTAATTCGCGCTCAAATGACATCTTTTCGGAATCCATTTATTAAGTGGCACTGGTGAATAAAAAGGGAAAGTGAAACAGTGCTTTTACGAGAGTGACTCTGGCGTTGAAGTGGGCCAGTGCCATCCCAAGGCTGGTGGAGTTTTCGCAATAGGCTAATTTACTTTCATGTGTTAAATATTCTTGGGTCTCAGTTCCAATCGCGATTTGGGGGAGTGAGATTGCTCTGAGTGCTTATTTACAATTCGGCCTTCGTTCAAACCGACACCGGTGTGTTACGTTCGTAAGGTCAGTGTTTTATTTTTCTTTTCGATGTTTCAAAGTGAACTTCGCCGGTATTGCGACTCGATTTTGAAACTTTGATGGATTTGACATTTGTGCAGAGCGTTACCCGCAAATGTGTTTACTTCATTTTTATCTGTTTCGTTGCGTTAACTAAGAAAGAACACGACACACTTTTGATAATAAGAATTGCGTTGTTTTTCATGAAATCATTTGAATTGCAAAGAATCGCGGATGTGCTAGCGAAGATAGGATAGCTTGTATCGTGTCTATTTTTTTAATTTAACGTTAAATAATTAGTATATTTTCAAAGTTTGACGTTAAAGTTTGTTTGTTTACAAACTTACACCTTAATTGAATAAGAAAAGTTAGAATTTGATTTTGACCGAAATGTAGCATGAACTATATTTAGATATTAGTTATCGTTTGGAACACAAATATTATGTAATAATGTTGTTTTGACCTGATTAAAAGAAACTGTGTTCCTCTTTTACAGGTGTTCCGAATTCGGATTACAATATGTCGTTCGTGGATTCCTATAAAAGGTTTATGGAGAGGAACAGCGGTAAGTGTTTATTATTAAATATTCGGTAGTTTCCGTCCATGCTTTTTTTATCACGTCACCGTAAACGTTGTGTCACATGTTACTTAATTACTGTCCATAATATTACTTTTTTATCCGAAAAGGCGGCAAACGAGCTGGCGGTTCACCTGATGTTAAGTGATGACAGCGGCTCGTTGACATTTTGAAAACCCGAAGGGTTGCATACGCGTTGCTACATCTTAATAAAGTGGGCCACGGCTACCTCACTCACCAGACACATCGCCGTTCTTCTTTGAGGGCGTGGTACATGCGGACCTGCCCATTCGTGCAACTAGGACTGCAGCTTGGTCATACCACAGTAAAAGTCCACAGTCCATAACACACTAAATGTTATATTTATCGTCGTGATCCTTTTCTTATTCATTTTATATTCTTTTGTTAATCATCGATACTAATCTAGAATTTTATAGTCCGATGATTCCACATGCACGTGTGCACCGGCGGAAATAACTTATTAAAGCGGAAATAATTTATTCCATATATAACATTTTGAAATTATAAAACATTTGCTTGTTTAAATAATTAAACGCGAAGCAGTTAGAAATTATATTAAAGTTTAATTGAATCAACCCTTGATAAGAAAATACCAGGCGTTGTTTTTAGTTTATTTAAAGTAGTAATAGAGATATTTTGTTATAGTTAATAATCTGATGCTGTTTTGATTAGAATCGTTGGCTTCGTTTCTCACATGTACTCCGTAAAAAGTAATTTTTATTAAAATTTAAATATGTAGAAATCAATTATTTATCGGTTATTTTTAAAGACTTAAATTTGCATAAGCAATTTTGAGTCTCCATTGTTAATTTTTAAGTGACTTATTTTAATCATTGTCTGTGACATGATTTAGTAGAATACATGAAAAAACCAAACTTTCTAAATGAGAGGATATTGTTGAATAATAGATCATGATATACTTGACACGCAATTAATTGGTTCTTGTCTATGAGTACGGTCAAACCACCACAACCACGTACACAAGGTAAACGCGCGTCCCAGGGCGGTTCTCATCTCCCCCAACCAATGATTAGCATTACAGACATGGTCCGCACCGAACCTGGATGTCCCTTAGGTGTCATCCTCGCTATAAACAACACACGCATGAGCACATTTGCGGCCCTTCCCAATGCCAAGGGCCGTATCAAGCTCGTGGAATCTGGCATTCTCATGAGCTCTGCACTTGAGGAAGCTTTAATAGATTACGGACTGAAAACAAAAACATCAGTCAAAGCTAAGTAAACTTGAAACGCCTCTAACAACGAATGAGATACACGCGTTTAAATATCTACTTTTATTAATGCAGTCAATGAATATTCAGCAGACGCAAGAGGTTGGCATGAAGATGAGCTATTTTTAAGTTCACTACGATTATTGTAATAAGTTAGCGTAAGGCATCTCGTGATGATGAAAATACATATATACATTATACGCAATAAGTCAACAAAGCATCAAGATAGACAACGGAAAATTTTCTGTTCGTTACATATTTATTACCGTTTTATACTTATTTATAAGATAATCACCGAATACTTAAAGGAAGTCGTAACGTCGAAATAAGCTTAACTTGGATACCAATATGCATGCTAGATTTTTGAACATTGACACAAAATATTATCAGCGATAAAACATGTAATGGTTTATAATCAATTAGGACGTAGTAGGCGAACATAGACCAGAAGCTTAGGTGGGTAGTAACAACTTAGTACTGATTCTGCTAGCATAAATACGCCGAAGTAGGTAACTCCGTGCGCAAGAAATAGCTTCCTGTACTGCCAAATTATCATTCGACAGTACGGGAATACCTATTTTCATAAATTACGTCGCCAATCTGTTATTTACAATTCATTTCCGTACTACATTTGTTGTATTATTAAATCAGTTTAACAGTTGTTCCTCATTCCGACGAACCAAACACCGAGGCATTTTCATCTCAACTTTTTTGCGTCTTATCAATCTCTATATTTTACTTTTCAAAGGCGTATTGTTGTGGGAACGCCTTCACTTCCACCCACAATTCATTATCAAATTTAATGATTCAAACCAATTTTAATTTTAATTCAAACAAATTTAAAATGTTTGCCGCTATTATTAAAATCTGACGAAAAATGACACGAAGCTTTCGTGAAATATTATTCACGAAGTAATAAGTTTTATTATTTCTAAAAATAGAGAGATTCTAATGTTCATTCTTTTAATAAAAAATTTAGTTTAAAAACTTCTTATTTAGAATGTATTTTAATTTCTTTTAATTTGTTTAAATGAAAAACGTAGGAAACTGAAATTTACAAATTAAGATACACTTCATTAATAAATGCTTATTAAACGGTTTTATTTAGCTCGACCCGTATGGAATTTGTTTGTTTGGGTCAAAATTAGAAATTGAAATTTAAGCACCTTGCCGTTGTCAGATTGATCTGAAATTTGGTACACACATTTAATTTAGATGGCAATACAATATTAACAAAAAAAAACATAAAATAAAACCGCTTAACTTAAAAGTTTTTAAACGGTTTTATTTTATTTACCGATAATAATATTACCATTTGGTGTGTGATCACTGTACTGTGCGAATTTTTCTTCACGTGTCATCTAGTATTCTATATTTAAATAATAGGTATTTTGTATTCTCTCATAGTAATTTTCTAATATCCCAGTGGGTAACTATTGAATTACTGTGTTAAAAAAATTCCTCTATCCAATTTACCATAATTTTACATGTTATTATTTTCGTTTCTTCACTTTGATGATTAAAAATCATGATTAAATAAGATGTTTCTCCTTGAAACGAACTTAACCTTTCAACGAAGCCGCTATTGAAATTACTTTGAAATGTTTGACCTCTTCTGGAGGTTGATGAGTTGGTAGTTGAGTGGATAACGTTTTTAGTCAATAGGTAGAGGAGTTCTAGAATTTCATTGAGGCCAATGTTTAAGCTTTACGTTAGAGTTTTAAATTACCGGTGCGTATATACTTTTATGTTTTTTTTTTTATTTATATCATCGTAGCTTCGTTTCGTTTAATGAAGTGGTCAATGTTTCCATCTCTCACAAATGAAATGGAAACTATTCTAAACCTTACCTGTTGAATTATTTTTGTTATGTTTACACTTTATCCAATGGTACGCATTTTACATGATACAAACATCTTCAACGGCGTACGTTTAAATTCATTCCATTCCTACTAAAAAACATACAATTAAAACGAGAGGCGTGTTCCTAACCGGTTAGTTGTTTTGTTTCCGTTAGAGCACATCGTCACATTAATATTGTATTAAACGAATTCGATAAGACAAATTACCAGGTTTGCTGGAAAAATTTTCCGTTTGTCAGGTGTTTGTAATTTGTGTTTGTGTTCGAGAATGTTCCTTATAGCCGTCGGGGTGATATATAGATTTATTAGTTTCATTCGGCTTAGTTCCGATATAAATATGCTATATAATAACAAATATCAGAAATCTGCGGTAGGGCCATGCAGCTGTGTTCGCTGTTGCACGAATGGACAGGTCCGTCCGACATGTCCTGTCCAACAATTCTGGTTTCTTCCAGTGGGTGAGATAGCCGGAGCCCACTTTGTTAAAAGGTGGCGATTCATCTGCAACCCTACTGGCGGCGGTTATCACTCAATATCAGGTGAACCGTCAGCCATTTTCTAACTAATTGATATAATTTAAATTGATATATTGAAAAATAATTGAAAACATAAAATCATCTTTGCACCGAATTAATCCGAGAACACTTTGTAACAGAACCACACCGGACATTTATGTTGCGTAACTCACTTTTTTGGCTCTTTGCAAACAATTTTTGCAATTGCAGCCTTCGCTGCACATAAAAGGTCGTGTATCAGTCATATCGTCCGATTTATTTCGCCCATGCCATTCTTGCCCGACTAATTAAAGACTCAGTTCATGTTATACTCTAAAAAAATGACTGAAATGAGTGCAGTAAAATAACTCTCATCTTATCGTAAATAATCAAATAGGAATTGATAATTAATACACAACTTCAGAGAGTTGAACCGAAACGAATCAATGTCTTAGATAGAACAAAATCTAAATTAGTTGAAGTTTGAAGTTTTTTACGAAAATTCGTCAAAGTCGGTTGATACGAAGTTACTTTCCTAGTTTATTATTATTGATAAACGCATTATATTCATTTAATATTTCCAATAACTAAATATCAGCTGTGCCAGTACTCTTTGTTTGTGAAAAAGATTTTAAATGATAACGGTTTATTAGTAGTTATTATTATTAAATAACATGAAATCGAAGGTAACGATATAAAATAATCAAAGGTAAGGAATCGAAGATCATGACGATTTGGTAGTGACGGAAAGTTCTTACACTTTTTTTCGCCTAGCACGAATGGGCAGACTCACTCGCCGTCACACGGAAGACCAGTGGGATGTTTCCACATCCCACTGGGCCAAAGTTCCGAATGGTATCTTCATTTCATATGTAGAGTGAGGTAACCTGGGCCAGCTCTGGTAATGTTTGGCAAAGCATGTGCAATGGCTGTTGTAGACCATAGGCGGTGGTAACAACTTAACAGCAGGTGAACTGCCTGCTCGCTTATCGTCTTCTCGTTTAACTAAAAATACTCTATTATGAGTGACTAAAAAGCATCTATTATGATAGACATATTATGTGCCCTTGTGCTTGTGGACCGGTTACAATAACGCACGACATAACAACCCATAACAGATTAAACATTCTTCGCATTTGTATTCTGTGAAACCCTCATCATATACTACGTGATGGGTATTGAATATTGCTCGATTAACTTTGTGGTAGGTCCCAATAAGGCACTTTTTATACACCAACCGTACTGATTTTGGTTTCCGCATCAAACTTGATGGTTTTGAACACAATCTACGTATCCGCACCATTTGTTCTAATAACTCTGTGATTTTTATAAACATTTCTTCTTAAATTTGCATTTTCTTTTCAAATTTGCTTTTGATTTTAAATTAAAAGAAATGAAAGCGAACAGTGACATTTATTAAATTAAAAATAAATTATGCCTATACATATTTTTTTATACCTCTATGACAGTTAAATCTCAGCAAGCTGTTTCTGAAATTTTAAAAATTCGCGTCATTTCACGTTTAAACTTTTTCAACTATTTCTCAAATATAGTATCACTTCTGATTTTTTTGGTAGGGTACAATTACTCTCAAACGCTTTACTTATTTATTTATTAAGGCTTACCAACTAAATGCATACAGAACATTGACACACAAATAGGTTTAACTTAATCATTAACTTGTAACAATATATGTATATATTTAAATTACAGGTAAACCAACACTATAAAACAAACTTGAGTTAGACAACATAACTTAATTGAAAAATAAGGAATATTTTATCCCTGAGAAGAAAAAACAAAAACGCGAAGTTATCTGTTTTTTAAACCATATCACAGATTTTTAAATAGTGGTAGAATATTCGCTGCATAATTATATAAATCAATTTGAAAGAGGAATCGACATCTCACCTCGAATGTAATAATAGAAATTGATAATCTTTATATAAATGTTAATATCAGACAACGGTTTTGTTTCGATAATTTTATAATTCTTACGTGTTGATAAGCAAGTTCTGCTGTCACTATCTCTTAAAGTATTTGCTAAATAATATATCTGTTATTTATCGGTAAATTGAAAATTATCTAGTCAATAGCGACGCCAATGAATAAATCTGCCTGCAGCTGTATGCAAATGTGACGCAACGTAATCAAGTGATCTTATGCATGTCTAAGATCTGTCACAGTCAAGTATGTATAGATAAAATCACATAGTTGTCTGTATGTTTTGTATAAATGAACGAATTCAAACGACCTTTCACGTCGTTTTCGATACAAAAGCAAGGTTTATGTATGTATATATTATCTTGATACTGAATATCTCGATTACGATTTGATACTATTAAAATTTATGTGATTATTTCATGTGATCTAACTAGTACTCGTCAATGAATCCAGGTGTGTTATAAAACGGTGGGTGGCATAGTTTTAAAAAATGGGAGCCTTACTAATAACAAACGTTATTTTTCCAGATCCACGGACGGAGAATTGGTGGCTGATGTCTGGGCCTGGACCACTGTTGACGCTGCTGGCGACCTACCTTTACTTCTGCACCTCCATTGGCCCACGTTACATGAGGGACAGGAAGCCATACTCCTTGAAGCAGCCCATCATCGTCTACAACGTCACCCAGATAGTGATGAGCATATTCCTTGTCTACGAGGTGAGTACGCAATAAAGCCATGCCCGTTTAAGCTTATTTCAAGTTCTGATCAATGTAGTCCGCCTGCCCTATTTGGGGCTGCATGGTGGCTTAGTATTGGAACCCAGAAGCTGAATATTTATGTTTATGTGAAGCTAATTAATATACTTCTTGTTGTCCTTACATGCTCTTATTGCTATTTACCGTTCGCTAATATAATACACACCTACACGATTTGTATTCAATTAATCTGTTATGTTTCGTCGTCAAGTAGTATGGATACTTCGCTGGTGATACGCCCAATTAGAATGCGATTGCTCCGCCGTAAAATACAGCTGGAGTTTTCTTACTTATAGATAAATAATATTTACAATTTTAAGTGGCATAAAGTGCTTAAGATATTTTTACCAATTATGAGATGATGTTGTTAAGGACCATTTTAAATGTACATAATATTATTATGTATGTTTATTAATGTCATTAAGCTTTATTCACTACAACACTTATAGAGCATAGTTTTTCAAATTAAAATAAAAAAAATTAAAATAAATATATCCTATGCTCATTAGTTTATAAGAAAAGCGCTGACTAAAACTTAACGCTTACAGACTTAAGCAAGCAGTCAGTCAGTATAAGATAAGAATAATTACAAGAGATTTTTTCTTAGTTGATTCGATGTCATCTCAAACAATGTAAGTTATATCCCCACATTTTGTTCTTGTTCTTTCCCCACGAGTTTGTTTTTGTATTTTTTTGCATTGTCATGATATGCTTAACAAATATAATAACTCGAAGAACTAAATCGTTATTGAAAACTAACACTCACAAGCCAAGTGATTCCAATTACGTTTATTTGCTATGCAAAGATGATGTCAAGATTCCGTGCCTTTAACGTATCGGCCAATGTTAAGAGACATGGCAAACAGTCACTCCCATCTTAAGATCATTTGCTATCACGGTCCCTTATGGCGTCGTCGATTATTATGAGTAGGTCACGCAAGACAGAAGGTGTACAACCTCTGTTTTGCATGACCAGATTTTCCGTTATTATTTTTCTTGCAGCTTATTTTGTATATATCATTTTATACTGGTCAAAAGACGATATAATTTACGCTGACTTTCTAACTAGCAAGAAATTTTAATCTTATTACGATTCATCTAGAAAAGATGTAGAAAAAATGAAATACAAAAATAAAAAAAAAATAGATTAACATCATCTGGACTCGGACCTGGGTCTTCTAGTTTCAAGCCTGCCCTATTACCGCACGATCTATTGTAACCTTAAAGACTGTGGTGAAATTCACCTCCGTATTCTAATGATATTTTTCATTGCCCGAAATACGGATAAATAGACTAGATTTATCGCTCCAAAATCCCCGTTTGTGCAAGAAAATTCTTCTTAAATCTCGCTCGTTTAAAGTATTAGATATCTTTATCGGCTAAAATGTTTTAATACGGAAATTAATCCTTAAAGCGATGTCATCACATTCTCGCATGAAGATGCTAATTCAATTTGAGTTCATTGACCACCTGTGAAAAAATTTCATGGTTACGTATTAACTAATTCATACCCATCCACGTGTAATATGGTAAACACGCCAGGATTTGTGTTCATCATTCGCTATTGGTTGAACTTTGATCTTCGGACGTGAAAACTTATGCTCCGTTTAGCAATCTGGTTTGAATAGATTTCTTATATGACGGTTATAAAACATAATTGTCTCAAGTATAAGTATTATTAACTCCCATCATTATAAAGATACATAAACAAGTCTGGCCACGAATCAGGTTTCTATGACCATTAGAATATTATGTCCTTTCTACTCGTAGTTCCTTAAACTTAAATGAAAACAATCCTTGAACTTTATCGATGTGTTCATTACACATTCCTTCGTACGCATTTTGTACTGTATTCATACCTAAAGGACACAAGAACGTCAACAATGAGTAGTTTAAATTTACTGTGTTCCAGAGAGAGAAAAATAATTTCGAACTGGTTATTTACCAACGATGTTATCATTTAATGTTAATAAATTATATATCGCACTAAAATTTGACGATAACCATCCCCGGAAAAAGATGCTCGCAAAGAGAATGTTAAATATTTGTGTAATATTCATACAAATTATGTAAAGCGTGAAAAACCGTTAAAAAGTCTTTGCCTTTCTTTTACTACCCGTGGTCAAGTGTATTGGATTAAGACAGTAAATTCTTCAGATTATAAACTTGTATTCAGTTATAGTAATATTCTATTCAATTTATTACAGGGCTTAGTCTCCGGCTGGTGGAATGACTACAACTTCAGCTGCCAACCCGTGGACTATTCTTACGATCCGAAGGCATTTAGGGTAAAACAGTTATTGTATTTGTGTTAAGGAATTATATTCTAATGAATTTGTTTCATCATTTCTTTCTTTGTTGATGCAATTGCTTGATTGACATGGAAGACGCAATTTATACGTTCGGGAAGCTTTTGTATTTTTTTTTCTTGTCTTTTCTATTATAACTAGCTACCTCACTAGTTTTAATTCTGAACTCGCTCAATATATCAATGTAAAGAAGAAAAGTATATTTCTTATACTTTTCTTCTTAGTAAAGGATGAAATCATAAAAATACAGTGTGTAATTTCTTGAATAATGCTAGATGGCGGGGGCAGTATGGTGGTACTTCTTCGCGAAAATCGTCGAGCTACTCGATACGGTATTCTTCGTTCTTAGAAAAAAGAACAAGCAAATATCATTCCTTCACCTGTACCACCACACAATGATGCCAATTTGTGCCTGGATTGGTGTTAAATTTCTACCAGGTAAGGACTGAAATTGAATTTTAAAAACCAACATAAAAACACCATTTTAAAGCTTTTGTTTGATGTTGAAGAAAATTATACAAGTTTTTTTTAATGTTAAAAGGTAGCAAACGAGCTGTCGATTCACCTGATATTAAGTGATGACCGCCGCCCCTTAGGGTTACAGATGTGCTGCTACATTTTAATTAAGTGGGCCCTGGCTATCACACTCACCAGACGAAACGCAGAAGTATAATACTTCCACTTCACGCCGGTCTTCTATGAAGTCGTGGTACTCCTGGGACGGACCTGCCCATACGTGCAACAGCGAGGATTGCTGCATGGTCCTACCTCATGGTCTAAGAGCCGTTTGTTGTATGGTTACCTGGGCTTTGGGAGGTAAACGGTACTAAAGGTGTGTAAAATACCGATCTACTTTCATCAAATAATAAAGTGCGATTTTTTGGTATTACCTTCAGAATATTAGTAAAAATCACGTTATTCATTGCCAGACACTTTACATAGTGGCAAACCCTTGCCAGACACCTTTAATGTTCATGAAATTATAATTTTACCTACGTTATAGTATAAAAGCTTATTTTTATATATAATACTTGGGTAATAAGTACAAGTTGTTTCCAGACATTTGATAGTTCCAACCCCTTGCCAGACAAAAAAACAACAACAACTCCCAAAACCCAGATAACCCAAACTCCATAATGGTCCATCGTTCTTACCTGTGTTGGGAGCATGCGCCGACAAACTTTCAGCTTATATAAAATGATGAAGGTCTGGCGTTCACGGGCTCTTGCTCTATCAGTGAAACAACTGAATAAAATTAAAGTTTTCATTAAAAAAGACTTTGGCAAATGTCAATAAAATAATGCCATCTATTGACAATTTGTTTAAACGAAAGCTAAGTAAAATGAAAAACCTTTTCTTTCAAAAGACACATTTCATTGATAAATACTTATAATTACATTTTCTTTCGATGACTGATCACTGGGCGAAAATTTCCCATAGGTTAATTAACTATATAATTTGTAATAAGTGTTTTGCGTTGATAGAAACTAAAATCAAACAAAATTTATTTTAAACTCACGTTATTTTGGAATTGACAATGTGGGCAAGGATGCGATTATGATAATGATAAATGTTTGCGATGTTTAACGTGCATTGTCAAGAAACCACTAGTTCGCTGCTAACCATGAATCAAAATATCACAAAATAGACTAACAGATTGAACAAAGGCACATACTCAAATACTTTTTGACGCTGCTCTAAAATCGCTTAATAATTTTAAAGTTTTAAAAAATTTGTTAATTTGTTAAAAAAGTAATAGTTTTAACAGTGGCGGCTTCGGCTGTTGCAGGAATGGGCAGGTTCATCCGGGTAAGTAGTACCTCGACCTTAACGAAAACCAGCGTGAAGTGGAAGGTGACTTTTGAAACCCTACGAGTGTTGCAAGTGTTGAGTATTGTCCATGTTTGTCGGTTATCACATCAGGTGAACCACCAGCTCGCTTGCCACCTTTTTAAACAATAAAATTATTGACAATAGCTATTCTAATTCTGACACTGTTTATTTGTTTCTAGGTGGTCACGGAACGTTGCTGGGCGTCATCAACTCCTTCATCCATGTCATCATGTACACCTACTATCTCATCTCAGGACTTGGTCCACAGTATCAAAAGTACTTATGGTGGAAGAAACATCTTACTAGTCTTCAACTGGTAACAAAATTGTTTAATAGTTACAATATGAACCTTTCGGTACGGCTTAAGTTGTAATACTATCTCAAGCGAATATAATATTATTCCAATATATTTACAACGTTCAAATTGATTTCTCACATTAGAGATGCACAAATTACTTATCAGACGTTGAATCTGGGAATCAGACCTTTAAATTACTGAAGAAACAACACCTCATGATTTTTTTTCCGCAACCAAGAAAAATAAAATTAAAAAAAAAACGAATACGTGTACGCACCATAATTTTGTTGTTTATAAGTTTCTTTATTTACTTCAAATAGGTCCAGTTCATATATACCCTCTGAACAGAGGAGGCCTTTCCCCAGCAGTGGGACATGTATAGGTTAATACTTTACTTTAAATTTTAGGTCCAGTTCGTGATCGTGTTCTACCACAATTTCTCCGTGATGTTCTGCGATTGCAACTACCCGAAGTTCATCAATTTCCTATTGGCACTCAATGCAGCTCTCTTCCTTTATATGTTCGGCACCTTCTACTACCGCAACTACGTTCAGGTCGACACAAAAAAGCGGGATGAACCAATAAACGGTCAAGCCAAAATAAATCATGTAACTGTGGCTAATGGGAAGACGAAAGAATGCTAGCGAATAATCATGTCAATGCTCAGAAATTTAAGCCTCATGTTATGTGATGTTAAATAAGTTAAGTTAGTTTTATGTCATTTTCGAATGTTGTATATATATGGTAATTTATGTATGTATTAGGTAAACTGGTCTGAAAATGGACCAATCCCAAAATAAAAAAATAATTTATTGGCAAACGAGAATTGTATATGCAATGTTTTTACTAATGTACATAAAATATCCACCGAATTATTGCTCTTATTATTATATATAATGCCTCTTGTTTTTTTTTTTATAATAACATGACATTTGTTTTTCATTACTCGTGTATAAAATTTCAAATCCTAGTATGTACCAAGTTTATTATTTTTTATGGATATTGGCCGTGTTATTGTTGCCAATATATAATATTAACCAACAAAGAAAATTTGTACATAGAAAGAAGACTCTGTAAAACATTCGAAGTTAGATAAAGTTAGAACAGGTACGATTTAAATTAAAATGTTTAAGGTTTATTTTTACATGCAAACGCTGTTACAATGTAGGATATATTCATATCGTTTATATAAAATATAGCTATGTGCAGTAATAATTGGGTTCATTGATGTACTTTTCGATCAAATCCTAAATTTGTTGAGTTTATCGTAATTAGGTTTCTGGCAATGATGAACTGCGTAGTATCTTGTGCCCTTGATGGTCTAGTATTACTGACGGCACAGTATTAGTGTGACTTTTGATAAGAACAAGCAGTGCTTCTAACACAATCCTAGGACTTCAGTGTCATCTCCAATTAAGAACCGGAATTTGACTAAACCATATGAATTTAGCTATCTCGATATCAAGATAGATAAAACCACAAAACTTTCTACGTGCGAAAACTTAACCTTAAGTGTAGTTAAATCTTGGGTTATAAAGACTTAAAATATATAAAATTGCAAATATTTCATATGTATTTTAATACGTAGAAGCAGTGATTTTTCATTACGGCATCTACCTTTATTTATGTAGTTTTGAGTCAATACTGAATATGTGTAATTTAGCACATTTTTGTGTCTTTGCCTCTGACGGTCCGGTAAAAATCACATTGATTACAGCACAGTATTAGAATTACCTTTGATTAGGACAATCAGTTCTCATACAATAGGTACAACGTGTGCAGTGACATCCTTTAGTAAGAACCGGGATATGACCAAAATCATGTACAATTTCTGCGACGTGCGACTTAATGAAAAGTGCAATTTAGCCTTTTACTATACTAAGCTTTAATATTAATCGAGCATAACTAGTTTTACAAAAGTCGTTGTGATATATTTTTAAGAGCATCTTCCATTTGTTCTTTTATTATTATTATTGCCCTCAATAACAATAAATGTGATATCGTGTCTAAAGCACCTGACAATACAACAGGTTTTTGTAAAATTAAATTTATAAAAATTTTATTTTAAACTTATTTGTGGTGAATTTATGGAAAAATCAAACAATTTAATAATGGAATAAGTAATTTCCCAAAAATAATTTTATGAACGACATTTGTAAAATAAATGTTTTTTTATACCTTATTATTTTTCTTAAGACCCTAAATGAGCCATTTTTCGATATAAAATCTCAGAAAAATATCAACATTTTAATTTAAGTTTAACCACAAAATTTCAAAATGTGTTGTAACAAGTATAGTTGCGATAATACAAATAACTAAAAAAAAATGAAAATATGTAATATTTAAAGAAAAATTAAAATATTTGAAAAAAATAATGAAATATCATAATGACTAACTTTCAATCATTCTACTTATTCTAAATGTTTTAATGTTTTTTTTTTTTGTTTTAATGTTTTAAAACGTTAACGTTCAATCAAATTTTTATTGTAAATAATAATCATTTTCATTGAAAGTTTTAGTAAACGAATCGACGTCAGTTAACAGAATAAAAAAATGCATTTTAATGAAAATTTTAATTTATTTGAAAGTTAAAATAACATGTTAATAAGATTTTCCATACAATAGTAAATAACTAATGAAAAAAACATAATGAATATAAATTGGTATTTAATTGTTAACTTTACAAGCGACGAAATCATGTACTTTGAGCCTTCTAGAAAATAAAAACAATCGTTTTTTATACCAAATGTTCAATATTTTATAAACAAAAATTTGTATAAAAGAAAAAGTGTGTTTATGGCTTAGAACTTTAAAAAATGGTTGTTCTTTTAGTAAAGTAAAAGTTGTACCTAATTGTTATTGTAATTTATTAAATTGAATAAAATTAAAAAGTAAAATAACCAAGCGGGTACGTGTCTTGACGTCAATTGTATGATACTTTATCCAAAAGAAATAAATTCCTCAGTAACTTGAACAATTTTTCATATTTCCATATTAAGCAATATCTTTCCAAAGCGTCAAGAACTAATAAAACTTAGTATGAGAAAACAGTTAAGAGTCATATTGAAAATAATTAATCGTAATGAAATATAAGAACGGCTGATACGAAAATATGTCGGAGGATGTAATAATTTTAGCTGACATCTGTTAAATAATCAAACCGAGTGGAAGAAATTATATATATAAACATTAGGCAATCGCCGCATAGTCTAAGAGCCCGTGAACCCCAGACCTTCGTTATTTTATAAAAGCTGAAATATTGGCAGTGCTGGACCATTATGAAGTTTGAGTTACCCTGACTTTGGGCAGGTAAACAGTACTAAAGGTGTGTAAAATACCGATCCAAATTCATCAAATAATATAGTGAGATTTTTTGGTATTACCTTCAGAATATTATTAAAAATCACGTTATTCATTGCCCAGACACTTAACATCGTGGGAACACCTTGCCAGGCATCCTTAATGTCCATGAAATTATAATTTTACTATCATTATAGTAAAAAAGACGATTTTTATATATAACACTGGGGTAATAAATAAATGGTGCCAGACATTTTTGATATTTCCAACCCCTTGTCAGACAAACATGTAGGCTAACTATAGGAGCGAGCGCGAGGCACTATGTCATAAATAATACATATGCTGGGTGCGCGATTGATGCCCTTGTGTTTAGTACATCAACTAAATAATGTTTGGAAAATCAATCATAATAATGTTTGGAAATAATAATCAATTATAATCAATAAATCAATCAATTATAATAATGTTGGGAAATAGCACACACTTAAAAAAAACAAGATATAGTTCATAGTTTCTCCTTACTGTCCACCCTAAAAGTAAAAAATAATAATTTGGTGTACCTTGCCTTACATTAACTCATCATCAGGAAAAATTAATGATCATATATATCAATTAAATCAATTATTGGATCACCTGACATGCCGTCATAATGACATATTTAATTTATTTGACACGAATAAATGTATTAATCTTTTAATTTTGACTCAAGATACAGTGTATCTGCCAAATAAATATAAGCACAAGATAGCTATGTTATTAGCATATTTATATAAATAATGACAATCCAGTATTAAATATACTGTCTATTAATACTGAAGCTCATACCTTTTTAGTAATTTAAGGCAGATAAAAGAGAAACCAGATGTTAAAACTGTTAGCTTGTTATATCAAAATATAAACCGTTTCTCTGGCAAGATCCTTGACTTAGAACTTCTAATTGATAAGTATAATGTAGACATCTTATGCTTTACTGAGACATGGCTCAATGATATGTCATTTAGTATAAGAAATTATTCAGTAGCCAGTAAATTTAACAGAGTATCTGCTATGGGAGGGGGGTGTCTCATCCTACATAGAAATATTTTGAAGTTAAAAGAAAGAACTGATATTGTTGCATACTCTGTTGAACGACTATGTGAGATTGCATGTGCAGAGACAGAAGATTATTTATTAATGTGTGTTTATAGACCACCCTCATCTGACCTTATAAACTTTTTATTAATTATTGAAGATGTCTTGATTAAAATAATTAAAATAAAAAAGCATATAGTCATTTGCGGTGATTTTAACATTGATTTACTGACAGATTCTCCAGATAAAGTGAGATTTCTGTCACTTCTTAAAACATTTAATCTTTACTGTGTCTTCGATGAACCAACAAGAGTAACCCCATCCTGTGCCTCTTGTATAGATAATATTATAGTAAATTGTAAAATCGTAAACCAAGAAATATTGATTGGTGTTAGATCTGACCATAAAGCTAAGTTAAAATAGACATCTATGTAAATAACCAAAATAATGTTATTATAAATGATTGTAGGCTTGTAAATAAATTCAGAATTAAACAGTTTAGAGATAGCGTCAAACACAAGCTACCCTTATTAAAGTTAACTAATAATGATCCCGATGACAATTTCAATGCCTTGTTTAATATGGTTACTACAGAATTTAATAAAATTATGCCAAAAAGAAAAACTATAACTTTAGGCAATAAACTTTGCTTTAGTGAATGGGCAACTAAGGGAATTAGAAAGAGCAGGGATAAACTATATGATCTATATGGTATTAAGTCATTATCTTTTGACCCTAACTTCCTTGAAAAAAGTAAAGTAACAGTCAATACATGTCCCACTGCTGGGAAAAGGCCTCCTCTATATACAGAGGGTATCAGGGTATAGTCCACCACGCGGCACCACTGCGGGCGGATTGGCGGACTTCACATATTTTCGAAATATATATATTTTTTGTTATTATTTCAAAAATATGCAGGTTTCCTCACGATGTTTTCCTTCACTGCGGAGCACGTGATAAGTCAGCACTTAAAGTTAAAAACATCATTTGTGCCGGCACCGGGGATCGAACTCCGGTTGCTTGAGTATATTGAATTAAAGGCGAGCGCCCGGACACTGAGCTATCACGGCTACAACTTCCTTGAATATGTTAGGAATTATTCAAAAATTTTTAAAAGGGTCTATACTTTAGCTAAATCAGACTATTTGAGTAATAAAATTAAATTGTCTTCAAATAAAGTTAAAAGTACATGGAATGTAATAAATAAGGAAACTGGCAAAAATAATGAAAAAAGGCAGATTTTACATTAAAAGTTAATGGCAAAGTTTTAAAAGAAAAATATAAAGTTGCAAATGAGTTTCTTAATGTCTTCTATACCTTGTGAAACTACTAGACATTTGCAACACTGTCCCACAGAGGCAGTGACATATCTCGATAAATATGTTAATATTTCTATTCCAGATTTAAAATTTTGCCATATAGGCCCGAACGATATAATTAAAACATTTAAAAATCTAAATAAAAAGAAAACAGAAGACTTATGGGACTTATCAATATGGGCAATTGATCTTATAATCTATGACATTGCTTGCACATAAGCCCAAATATTTAATACATGTTTAGACAGCAGCAAATTCCCAAAGTTAATAAAATATAGTAAAGTTGTGCCAGTATATAAATCGGGTTCGAGAGATAATGCCTCTAATTACCGTCCTATCCCTATGTTGCCGGCCTTAAGCAAAGTGTTTGAGAAAATAATGCTGGATCAAATGATAGTTCATTTTAACAAATATAAAATTTTAAACCAGCACCAATTTGGATTTACTAAAGGTAGATCTACAACTGATACAGGGATAGAATTAGTTTCACATATCCTGCAATCCTGGGAAAGCTTTCATGACACCATTTGTGTGTTCTGTGCCCTTTCCAAGGCATTTGACTGTGTAGATCATACAATTCTAATCAGGAAATTGGAATATTATGGTATTCGCAATAGTGCCATTGACTTTGTTTCCTCATATCTTACTGACAGGGAACAAAAAGTAATCATAAATGGTATATTGTCAACGGGGTCAAAAGTAAAAATGGGCGTTCCTCAAGGATCGATTTTGGGCCCTTTTCTGTTTTTAGTTTATATTAATTTTTTGCCATATATAGTGGAAAAAAGGTCTCAAATTGTTTTGTTTGCGGATGACACTTCATTATTGTTTAAAGTTAAAAGGAAAGATGATGCACTGGAACAACCAAATGAAATACTAGATGTTGTGTCTGGCTGGTTTGCTACCAATAACTTACTTTTGAACTCCAATAAAACAAAATGTATTAGATTTACTCTTTCAAATTTGTGTCACCAATCACGAATCTCTATTGATGAGAAAATCCTTCCCCTTGAGGATTCCACAGCATTTCTTGGAATAAGCGTTGACTCTAACAATAGATGGCGCCAAGCATTGCTTCAAATGCTAAGAAAACAATGTAGAAGAATGCGTTAAAGGATTTTCGTCGGTGTGGCAATCAGCCGTTTAGCTCAGTGGCTAGAGCGTCAGGCCGCGAATGCCGAAGACGTGGGTTCGATTCCCACAGCGGCGACAATCTTTTCGCACTTTTTCTACATATTTTAATGTTCAATCTTAAGTGCAAAGATTAGCACTATAAACAATTTAAATTTCTAAAAAGCAATGGCGACATCTCTCGTTCGAATTATCATTGTAAAATGATATTCGAAATTGTTTGTATGCTGGAAAGGATATAACAATAGATGGCGCCAAGCATTGCTTCAAATGCTAAGAAAACAATGTAGAAGAATGCGTTAAAGGATTTTCGTCGGTGTGGCAACCAGCCGTTTAGCTCAGTGGCTAGAGCATCAGGCCGCGAATGCCGAAGACGTGGGTTCGATTCCCACAGCGGTGACAATCTTTTCGCACTTTTTCTACATATTTTAATGTTCAATCTTAAGTGCAAAGATTAGCACTATAAACAATTTAAATTTCTATATTGAATAAATATACTTTGTGATTGTAGGTAACTGACAATCATACTCAAACGTAATTTCTTTTTATAAATAAATACAAATTATAGATTTGTAAACACCTAAACACTAGAAATATACTAAGTTCATCACACAATATTTCTTCAGAAGTGGTGAGCACCTCATGGCCCAGGAGACAGGGTCTCCATTAAGGGGCAATTGGGTCGTCAAAAAAGTTTAAGTAGTTACTTTAAACTTTTTGACAGTTGTCATACATATTGCATTTGCTATTGCTTGGCATAACCAACAATGGCAAATATTACGTTGCCGCTCTAGTACAGCATGTTGTCCCATACTTATATTTATTTGTTGTGTTATTTTTTATTTACCTTAGTCAATATATACAAGGTTTCTCGCAACACTATCTTTCACAATTGAAATACGTAGTATTAATCAACATTCAAAATTCTATCAAATCAGGTACAGATACTATGTTCGTTTAAATGTATATGGTTTTTAATATTAAATACGGGGTCATGCCTATATCCAAATGCCCATTCTGCAACATCTTGTGCACGTTTGTAGCGATATTATTATTCAAAATTGGAACTTTATTGAACAAGATATAATTTTTTTTTTTTACGATGGGCTTCGCATGAAGTTCCAAAGCTAGACAGACACATAAAGAACAGATACAAAAAGAACATGTTCTTTATGTAATGCCCGTATTAAACGATGCAGATTTACTCTTTGGCTTGTTCTCTAGGAACACTGCTGGCTACCAAGCTGGTCGCAGAGATAGATTGAATGCACCTCTTGGAATCTTTTTGAATATTGGTACATACATGTTTATGGTAATACGTTTCTGTGATAATATATTCCTATTCCGATAAACTTCGAAGACAAAACTTCGCAACTAAACATTTTCTGACAAATTTACAAATAACTTTAAAGACCACTTTCCATTCATTCAACATTTTAGAAATAGTTTCTTTTACCTTCTGATGAAATAAATGTTCGCGTAAACGACATTAAATGATCAAATCTATATATCCTTTAAAGAGTTGCGGATTGACCCAGCATGTTGAATCTACCGGGTCCATACTTTTAACATAGCGACATCTATTAGATACTTAATCGTTCCAGCCTCTAAATATACCTGACATCGCCATTTGTTAGATTCTTAAGGAACTCACAGATACTTAGAACTCCTTGTCATATTATGAACAAATTCATAATTCGAAATAATGGGACTATAAATTGAGATGTAAAGTATCCGATATCTGAAGTTGGATCAGACTGCACACGTTGTGCAAATTTGATTAAAATCAGTTCGGTGGTGTAGGAGTCCATCGCGGACAAACAACGTGACGTTCATCGTTTATACGTGCGACATAATTTATTCAGTGTTGCAGTACATAAAACATAGCCGTATTGGAGCAAAACTAACGTTCAGTAGCACAATGTAAGTCATTGAGCGCGTGAACTTTTAATTGGAAACGACATGTCCGTGGCTTATAAGCAATTCATTTATTTAAATTAAAAACTGAAGCAAAGTAAAAAGTTGAATGCAAATAAATCAGCAATGCATTCCAATGTAGATTCTCGCGATGTTAATCGGTCCATAGAAACTTAATAGGATTTTTTTAATATCTACAAGATCATTCCAAAATAAATGGGTGAAAGAAATCTCATCAAACGTTTCTTCAAGTTGAGATATATGTAATTTTATATTCAAAATGTCAGTTATATTAAGAAATATGTGGGACGGCTATGGATATCTGGTCGAAGATTTAGCAGGTAAGATTTATTTTACGTTATATGATACTAAAAACTGTGTTGATTGCCATCTATAATCGATTAGGAATCAAAAGATTTTGGTAAATGATTTTTAGGTATGCTTTGATATCGTTTCGTCATTATTTCATATACTTTTATATATTAATTTGATAATAATCTTGAATATTTGGTTGCATAAATTGTGTATCAATATCAACTTTTTCAATTCAACTTCTCTCTTATTATATATATATATATATATATATTCTTAACTCGTAACAAAATAGAAATTGTCTAAAATAAATTTGCACATTTGTGACGTGTACTAAATATGCCTCTTATTGAATATAATATGGTTGGATTCGATCTGGGTGTTTGTCTAGGTGAAATTTATGTATGTAAAACGTCTTACAACACAGGATAATGTTATAAAAGCCCCCATACCAAAGCTATCCGAACAATGTAATGAGATGTATTAAGACAAAATACCAATGTCATTTTTAAATACACTTGAAAACTTTCTAGTTTATTTAAAAATGACCACTTAGACCACCTAGTTATTAAAAATTATTTACGACAATATTTTTGCGAAAACAATGTTGGTCAAACAAAAGAATATTTATTATTGCTGCTTTCCATTGTTACAGATCCTCGCACAAAAGATTGGTTTCTCGTAAAGAATCCGTTAATTATCGCATCAATCCTCGTATCGTACAATTACTTTTGTATCAAAATGGGGCCAAATATAATGAAGAACAGAGAACCTTTCGAAATGAAAATTATCATTAAATTATATAATTTATTTCATATTATGCTGAGTATGTTCATTTTTAGAGAGGTATGAAGTAATTTCGTCCGTTGTGTATTAAATTTAAATTGCGTTTTAATAAATCAAATAAAAATATAATTTTCTTTTCAGGCCTGTGTAGAAGTATTTTTCAGAGATTTTAGCTTATTCTGCCATCGGGTCAATCAATCAACTGATCCAACGACTTTACGGGTATAATTTTTATTTTAGTCATGTTTTTTAAGAACATAAAAACACAAAACATTTGTATTTGTAAGTACCAGGTAAGTACCACGACCTTAGAGAAGACCAGCCTGAAGTGGAAGCGTTATACTTCTGGTGAGTGACGTAGCCGGGCCCACTTTATTATAAGGTGATGACACATCTACAACCTTACAGGTGTTGTAAATTTCCATGGGACGTGGTTATCACTTAACATCAGGTGAACCGCCAGCTCAGTTGCCAACTTCTTAAAGTAAAAAAAAAATCCAATGGGTCAGGAGAAGTGAACTGCGGGCTCCGTTTTATGACCATTACTATCTAACCTCGCTGATGACGCAGTCCTACGTATTATTCACCCCGTTCGTGTAAGTGTTATTTACTAAACCTTCTTAATTGCCGACGTGATTTTCTTCGACAGCAGTCAAGTCGGCTCCCCAAGCTTGGCGTGGCATGCATTGTTGGTAAAATCTATGAGCTAGGTCTTCGGATAGCGCCCCATAAGTCACAAAATTTCTAGGCGCAGTTTCACAAAATTTCTAGTGGAAAGGAACCACCCAGCTGGTTGGTTCGCATGGGTGGCTTACAAATCCAGTTGACATCAGTGATGGAATATCTTGGTCTCACTCTGGTTAGTTGTTGGGGCTCAGGATAGAAGCACCGTAGGGGTCTCTGTGGCAGCAGCTTGGCCCACACTGGCTTATGTGGAGCTTGGTTGGTGCTGTGGACCTTGAAGGCAGCGTCAACTGGGAAACCGGCTAAGACCGTACCCAGGCGAGTTTTTATCTCAGCGGATTTCTCGCAAATGTTTCGTGACAACCTCAACAACCTCTGTCTTTTCCGCCGCATCGTCTAGGCTCGAGATGCACAGATCAGCGCCTTTCTCATGCCTGGAGACAAGGGCAACCTCTTTGCCTACCACATGGCGCAAATTTTATTTTTGATTCAATAATAAAAATCTTTATTCAAATTACAAAGTTTCTGGTTACAAAAATTTTACAAGCACATGTTTGTTACCCGTATTTAGGAGACTCAGTTCCATTCCCCAAAATTGGGTGAAGTATTTGCATAAGGTACTGAAGTGAAGTGTGTGCTCATAATCGTGTGTTTCTATGTGTGCATGTGTGTGTTAACCATCAGTTTTATGCCAATTTAGTTTCATGTTCATGTATTTTTTTTTAATGTTTACATTTACAATTTTTTCTTTTATTTAACTGTCGCTGAAAATTCTTCGGTGTCATGATATTTTTGGTTTAAAAGAAAAGAGCGAGTAGCAACTTTGCACCTATAGTAAGATTTGTTATGTACCAGAATAATTGCGTTCATTTTATTATATAGGAAAGGTCCAAGAAAGTAGAAAAATCTGTTTGTAAAAGAAAAATTAAATTTTGGTATAGAGCAAATCTAATCTTTACGACGTTTTGTTGTTTCAATGAAAGGAATCTTACTTAATTTCAGCCATCAAGTTGACTCTTTCGCCGCTATTGTCCTCTGGTACTTCCAGGATCTGCGAAACTTTTGTAGCGTTCATAAACTGTTGAACCTGGATTCCGAGATTAGGAACGCTACGGGTGTTGCAGCACCCGTAGTTTTGTACTGTTTACTGTACGCACTTACTAATCTTTTCGTTTTTTTAGCTTCTTTCAGCTGTTTGGCTGTACTATGTGGCAAAATTGGCCGAATTACTTGATACAGTAATCTTCGTTTTAAAGAAGTCTAATAGGCAAATATCATTTTTGCATCTATACCACCACACGTTAATGGCAGTGGCGGCCTGGGTAGCTGTCAAATATTTTCCTGGTACGATACTTGTAATTTTATAGACTATAATCGCTTCCTCAGTCCGTTTCTATGTTTATTTCCAAAACTAGATGTTCATTTAAATTTAAATTAAGAGTTTAAAGTATCTATCAAATACTCTTCCTTTTCTTGATGAATAAATATGTTTATTTATAGAGAATTTCGTTTGTATATAAGACATAATCAATCAGTGATAATACTTTTATTGGATAATTTTCTAAATTGTCTTAAAGGTGGACAAGCTATTATTATCGGATGGATTAATTCCTTTATACACATAATCATGTACATTTACTATCTTATGGCAAGTTATGGACCAAAGTATAAAAGATACTTGTGGTGGAAGAAATACCTTACCGTAATGCAAATAGTAAGTTTTTCACAATCACTTTATTCCTTTATATATTATAAATTTAAATCACATTATATTTATTTTAATGGTTTATCTGGGCGCTTATAGAATGAGTTTAATACTTAATGTTATCACTTGTTATGTTATTCAGGTACAATTTGGAGTAATAAGCATTCAATTCATAATAAGCTTATTTCATGATTGCGGATTTCCGACTGTTATCAAACTTCTAGTCATTACTGGAACAAGTGCATTCACATGGATGTTTAGCAGCTTCTACTACAACAGTTATATCAAGCCAAGGGAATTAAAAAAATGTAACACTTGTGAATAAATTATTTTCATGATCCATAAAGACACAGTAATAATCGCAAAAGTCAACGTCAAACCATTAATGACAAACAGTACTTCAGTATGATGATAATAAAACCTTCACAAGCAAAACAATATCAATTTATAAAGGAACAGACAGCATTTTAGTACATCCAATCGGGTTTAGTAACTTTTAACGTACCCAGTGCAAGCCTAGAGTTTGTTGGTGCAATAATCTTAGCCAGTTTACCTATCTTGAATGACGTATTTGAAGATTAGACAGTTTTATTGTATTGTTCTGGGTTTTCTTATTGTTTATCTATGATCATTCAAGTTGTGAAAAATTCTCTCTTAATTATAACGATTTACTTTGAATTCACATTACAAAAACTAAGCGCATCAATTCTATTAAGAAGCTTGTTATTATTTTAAGAAGGATGTTATTAATTTTACCAATTACGTTGTAATAAACTTTTTGTACTATAAATCAGTATTTTACTGGATCCGTGGACTTAATTCTTCATAGTTGGTAGACTTATTTAGATAATCCAAAAGGGGAAATTATTTTCTAAAAATGATTCAAGTATGAAATCGCCATATTCTACCCGAACGTCGCGTTCGTTCAGAAAAAAGCAGGGGGGCGAATTATAGAAGGTTTCTAAAAGTAGATCCTTTGTTAAAGAGCAGTCTGGAAGAAGTTAATGTAATACACTGTAATTATAATAATAAAACAAAAAATTCTATATATATATATATATATAGAATTTTTTCTTTCAACGCTGAATACGTGATAATTCAGCACTTAAAATTACCAATTTCATTGGTGCCGGCAGTATTGAACTCAGGTGGCTCGAGTATATTGAAAAAAAAGAGAGAGCACGGATAACGAGCTCCTAACACGGCTCTTGAAATTTTAATGAATACGACACAAATTTTCGCATTAACTTTTAATAAAAAAGACAACAAAATTTACATAATTGTTTAATGGAAAAAAAATGTTTTAACCAGGTCTTTTTCTAAATAGAGGTGTAGCAAACTGGAAACATTTTTTATAAAATAATGAAAGAAAAATCCTTCTTATCACAAATTTATAAAAGTGAAGCGATCGAGAACCGCAGGGAAAGTTTAGATTTTTCCTGATCTGGTAGCGTCTGGTGCTTCTATTTATTCCCTAAAATAAAAAAATGAATTCATAGGGATACAGTTTTCATCACCGGAAGACGCACTATCAGTGTTTGATAAGGCCGTAGAAGAGATGTCTGCAGCGAGATGGCAAAAGTGCTTCGAAAACTGGTTCAGACGTATGAAAATTTCTATGGATGAAGACGGTGGAGAGTCCTTTAAAAAGATTTAATGAAAACACTTTATTCATATAAGTTAGTTTTTTAGTTGCACAAATTTCTGATTGTCCCACGTATGATATGACGAAATTTACATCTTTTTTTTCTTATTTTTATGATTTTTTATATGCAAAACCTACTCGACAAAAATATATTTCCGTTTTGTCAAATAAATGGAATAAAATAACTAAATTATCGTCTACTTCAGCGCACTGACTTGCGAAAAAATTGTATTAAAAAAATGGAGACTTCATTTGAATATCGGACAGTGACGTTCAATTTAAACTTCACCTTCAGTGGGTTTAGGTTAAAGGTTAATTATATCTAAAACCTATTTGTTTTAAGTCCCTTGAAACAATATAATTAATGAACGATTTTATGAAATTAGTAATATAATTATGACTTTAACGTCCGGTTTTTGAAACACAGATCATCAAAGAAATTAACTAATACGTTGTTAAATGGTGTGTCAAATGTCATTTGGGTAGCCAAAAGAATGGTCAAAGTCCTTGAATTGATCATTCTGATCATTCAAGAATATCATTATGATCAGTGTTTCAGAAACCGGGGTAAAGGTATTTATAATTGTCCGTATTTATGCAAAATGGAACCACACGACAATTTTGTGTTTTTCTTTTTTTTAAGAATATTGAATTTAAAAGTGGTCTTAATTCTTATTCAAAAAAGAACCACATGATTTTTCCATTGGAAATAGGGCATACAAAAAGCAGAAAGGAACCAACTGCAATAAAGAACATTACATATAAAGCAAAACGACGGGACTCGATTGTTCAAACAAATAAACTATATTACTACCATGTCATTTTATACAAAACAGATCCACACATACTTGGTTCCATTAAATTTAGCTCAGTGGCTAGAGCGTCAGGCCGCGAATGCCGAAGACGTGGGTTCGATTCCCACAGCGGCGACAATCTTTTCGCACTTGTTCTACATATTTTAATGTTCAATCTTAAGTGAAAAGATTAGCACTATAAACAATTTAAATTACTTGGTTCCATTATAAATTTCACAGATTTCAATTATTAACAATCATTTTTAATATACCAAATGGAACCAAGATTCTGTGGTATCGTTATGCGTAAAATAAATTCATGATTTAATTTCTAATATTTTTTGCAAAATGGAACCACAAGCATTCGGTTCCATCATGTATAAATACATTGTGTCAAATAGTAGAACCACTAGTATGTGATTCCATTATCAATATGAGGTTTTGAAAAACATCATCGCCCAAAGGTACCAAATGTCATAACTTGTTAGATGCCTCTTGCCTTTAAAGAACGTACTATAGGTACTCGTATACTTACTACTTTCGAAATATATAAATTCTCTCGTAAATATCTATTGGAAAAAGTCGAAATGCACCCGAATTTATATATCAAAACACTTGGCGTTTCTACAAAGATCAATAATACCGATTTAATTAAAGTGATATTATAGAATTATAAATATTATATAGAATAGGATGGAAAAATGGAGGTAAGAACAAATGCAGCGACAAAATAGTTTTATACGTGAGATGAAATTAAACCATCTTTCTAAGTATAAATCACACTATAGAAGAAGTAAGCCCGTGACCGAATATCTTATACCAGACTTGACTTTGGACACCATGTTCGATTTGAACTGTGTACATATAGTAGAAGCTAAGAAGATCAATAAGGCAATGTATTGTTTTTATGTAGGAAGATGGCATTGGCATTTGCAACACCCGTAGGGTCGAGATGCATTGTCACTTTTTAATAAAGTGGGCCCTGGGTACAATACTCTCAAGACGAAACGCAGAAGTATAACTCTTCCACTTCACGCCAGTCTGTGAGGTCGTGGTACTTCCCCGGACGGACCCACCTATTCGTGCAACAGCGAAGACTGATGCGTGGCCCATATTTAAATCTTAGACGAGTGCCTTTAAAACAGATTTTTGTAGTATACTTTAAAATCGGAAATTAACTCCTTGCAAACCCGCTGAGAAGAAAACAGCCATAGATACAGATCGCGAAGAACATTGCCGATAATGGAAAGAGGCTCAAAATCGAAACCTGACTTTATTCTTGCTACTAAATGTAAGAAACTAGTCTCAAGTTTTATCTCCAAAACATTACTTACCATAAATGACAGCTTTGGCTGGGTTGCTTTTTTGGATAGAAAGAATGGTTGCCAAAGGTGTTTAGGAAGTAGGTTCTGGTCTTTTAAAATATATACGCGAGCATATTTCTGTAGATTTCGAGGATCTAATTTTATGGACCGATTCATGTAGAGGATTCAATTTCATGTTAAAAGCATTTTTACATCCTCATTTCACCTTCAAAAAATAACACTAACACCATTTTTATACTCGGACATGCTTCCTAACCAACGACAGAGATTTCCCTCATTGAAACGGCAATAAAGAAATATCCGAGACTATACAATTCCGATGATTATAGCCAGGTAATGAAAGATTGCATGAAAAATCACCGCTTACAGTAACAGTTATGCCAAAACCTCACATGGGAACTTATAAGATTGAAAAAAGTATTAGTAACAGACGTGGTATTAATAAAGAATGTATTAATCGGATATAAAGTCAAAAAACATACCTGAAAATAGAATCACCTGTGAGCGGCTGTAATCTTGACAAAACATTTAACTCCCCTGTGATCGTCAAGGAAGCCAATATCATCAGCGAAAGTAGCTGATGTTCAGTTTATATTAAACCTCCTGCCACTAAATGCAGAGTTTTTATAATGGTCTCAATGAGTTTTTATAATGGTTATAACGATGTGAATACAATAGAAGTCGATATAGATGGACTGAATACGGGCGATTTCGAAGGTTCGATTCGATGATAACGTCGAATAAACGCTCTCTATACGTATAACGTTCCTTTTTGCATAAATACGGACAATTACTCAAATTCTATATCTTGATCATTGTAGCCCCTACACAGGCTTTGAACTGTATGAGGCAGCTTAAACAGAAGCTGTGTGATTGAGTTCTTAACGTATTCACACATGATGCAGCTAAAACTGGACTTGCTGCCTGAGTGGCTATGGTATTACAGATGGGGTATTTCAGTCAACAATGACAAGACGTCCGCCATCTGCTTTCAACACATCCTCAACCAACCTACGCTTCAGCTGCGAGGTCAAGCGATCAAAAATGAGAACACAATTAGGTACCTTGGGTGTCAGATAGACCGCTCGCTGCGTATGGCACCCCAAGTCAAATACCCTGTTTTACAAGCCAGGGCATGTAGAGCCTTAATTTACTCTATCATGAAATCTAAGCTGCTGCCAAACTCGGCGTCTGTAAGACCTACATCCGCTTGCGCTTGACCTGCGCGTCTTCGGCGTCGTACGCCCTGGTTTCCGCCTTGCAGCGGCGCAGAGTCCAGGCACAGCAGGACTTACGGCTACGTGGGGGCTGGACGTTACACCAGGAATGACGTAATAGCCCGCGACATCAGGATAGAGTCGAGGAGTTTGCCTCCACTCCATGGGAGCTACAGTAGTTGGAACAGCCCAATATTGGGGGGAGGAGGGGTTAGCAGACTATAGCTCCCTATGACCTAAAATTCTCGTGGTAGACAAAATCTCGTCACATATATATCCGTCGGAAACAAGAGACATATTTCTCTGCACCCGCACTGACAGTTCTTTTTTTGTTTATTTATTTATGTATAGTTGTGTTGTGTACATGTCTATAATAACTATATTTACAATAGCGTATACCTCAAAACCTTCTCACTGGTCATTGTATCCTCTGTAACATGGTTGACTGGAAGAAATCGCTTCTTAGCGATAAGGCCGCCTATTGTACCTTTATGTCACAGTTTGTTACTTTTGTAATTTTGTCTGGTATACAATAAAGCGTATTTCATTTATTTTCATTCATTCACGTTACATTTGGCCCACAATCAATCTTAGATCCCAAGTACATATGCAGATACTTGCGATACTCACCTTATTATGTAGTAGCTACAATAAAATAAAATAAATTAAACATAAAAATTAATAAAAAAACAGCTCTCCCTAGTGAGCTTCTATCGTAACACATATTTAATATCATGCACAAATGAATCCCGAACCCAATGATGTTTTAATATAAAGATGACGCATCTATGGACATATCCATATTGCGCGACGTTTAAATATTGTGAAAATAGGATAGTTGATATAGAACAGATACCAGTCTATAGATTTGCATTTGAAGAACAGAGGTGTTATGATGAACAGTGTTATCATAAATTCAACAAATTTTTTTTTGTCGTTGTGTTATATCTTGCTTGTTTTTGTGTTCATGGGGCATCCGGACATACAGATATTTTTGTACAACTGCACGGACAAGTTGCAGTCTATTCAGTGTAGGGGTGAACAGATATGTTTTTTCGAATTCAAAGTTGAACTCCTAGAAATAGACTAGTAGTTTACAAAAAAATAATTGTATCAAAATTGTATAGAATCTAAAAACATCCAATGCTTATATTAATATCAGTGTAAATATTGAATTAAATTTATGCCTGACATTAATATCCTATGATTTAAAAGATTCCATTTGCAGTTGCATACGTGGTAAGGTATATTGTGCCTATGGTTTCGCTTCTGACTTATTCGTCGTATATGACTCTATTTCTGTCTTTGTGCCAAAATATAAATTTTATGTGAATTGTTTGTACTTATATTATGTGGTATGTAATTTATCCTTTATTCTTCATTATTTGTGAACCATAGTTTTTACACTTTCTAAATACAAAACTCGACATTTTAAAAGATAGTACCTGGAGGACCTGTAATTCCCAAAATACATGATTTACCAAAAAAAAAAAAAAACAAACCGAGCAAAGCTCGGTCCTCCGGGTACTATATATATATATATATATATATATATATATATATATATATATATATATATATACAAGAATTGCTCGTTTAAAGGATAAGATTTAAGTAATTATGTCATACAGTGACAGGCGTGTTAAATCGCTCGATGTTATAATGCGACTAAATCTAAACTATTGGCGTAATTTTTGATATCTAGGTATTGTATGTATATATCATTGCCCGAACCCATAACTGAAACTACATCCAAATCGGACTAGTAGTTTTGGAGAAAAATGGCAACATGGATTTGCACAAATAGTATTGGTACCACCCAAGCGTTTAACATTTGGGGTCGAAAATTTTATACATTTAGTTTTATTGCCATTTAACAGTAAATTATTAGCATTATATCAATGAACTATTTCTAACATAGCATGATTTACCTCGTCAAGTGTTAAAATATGTCGCTCGATTTGAAAGATAAATGAAGTATCACCAGCAAAATGCACGAGTTCCCAAAGGAAAGCTAACTAATATCAAGCCAATTTTGCCAATGTGCTCTGACTTTGTTGACACCCCTAGACGCCACCGCAACGGTCCAGGCCCGATAACTCTCCTTATGGCGAGATGCCGCTTAGCAGGAACGACGGAACAGGGATTGGATCTGCCACCAATGGGAACCGTAGAGAATGGAAAAGCGTTTCATTCACTGAAGCACCACATCGATGACAGAGTCAGCGATATGTCGCTGTAATCATCCTATAGAAGCGAACCTTGCTCTACGGATAAGATGAAAAGAAGGACCGCATCCCATCTGTTCGCGAAGCGCCTATCAAGATCATCGCCGCACCTCACACGACTTAATTTGCATTACATTACATTATATAGAAATTACATAAGTTATTCGTAGTAGGCAGTGTACTTTTAGGGTTCCGTACCCAAATTGTAAAACAGGACCCTATTACTACGACTCCGCTGTCTGTGAGTCTGTCTGTCAGTCCATCTGTCACCAGGCTGTATCCGTGTAACCGTGATAGTTTAAATTTCACAGATGATGTATTTCTGTTGCCGCTATAACTACAAATACTAAATACTAAATATAAAATAATAAAATAGTATTAAAGTGAGGCTTCCATACAAAAGAAATTATATTTTTCGCTGTTTTTATAGTTAATGGTATGGAACCCTTCGTGCACTTGCCCGAAAATGGTCTGAGGAGCCAAGGGGGACGTCGACAGAAACCTGATAGTAGTCCGAATGAGTGGTAGGCAGAAGGTCTAAAAGGGAAGGTAAGTGATTTAACAAATCTGGGTTCCGCGTATGCATAGTGACGAGCCTTGTCAAATCATTCGCTATGGCACAGTCGTGTACAGACCTCCCTGCATGATCAGTAGTATGTGAGCCGATCCGACGTGATGAGCGTTAAATTCGCCAAGTACCAAGATCTTTGCGATTGGGATCCGTTCGAGCACGTAATGTGTCAGCCGGAGATATCAGAGTCTCAGTTAGAAATAGCAAGGATGGCTTTTCCGTCTCTAGGTGGTAGTGAGCGACATTGAGGTTGGAGTGAAGTCCCTTAACATTGAAGAAATCCATGGAGAGCGTGATAGGGGTAGTGTGCCTGCTACGCTTGCCTCGAGAAGAGGTAATGGAGAGCGGAATTTCGCCCTCCCCAGAATACGTTGGGCAGCGTGAGCGCCCACAATCTGCCAGTGGGGAATATTCCAGTACCAGTAGTACCAGTACCACCTTCCTGGATATGTTCGTTTTCAAAGTCAAAGTCAAAATTTTTTTATTCAACATAGGCTTATTTTAAGCTCTTATTGAACGTCAAAAACTACCAACGGTTCACTAAACTAGACCTGCAAGAGAAAAACCGGCAAGAAACTCTGCGGTCATATATATATATATATATATATATATATATTTAACTATTTAAGTATATACACAAAATTACATTAGTATAATTTAGCAGGAGCCAGGGGACTTGCGAGTGCAGAGCAAGAGTCATTTCCACACATCTTTGTCCTCAATGTATTCCTCGACATTATAATAAGCCCTTTCCATTAAGTTGGCTTTTACAAAATGTTTGAAATTATTTACACTTAATTGTTTGTGGATGTTACCTATTGTATTATATAAGTTAATACATCTACCAAGAAACGATTTCCTGGTTTTAGCTAGTTTAAACCTCGGTATTTCCAACGTGTCACCACGGCCCTGACGCGATGTGGTATGTTTTTTTGTAAAATGGTGTATGTTATTTCGTACATACATGATGTTCTCAAGTATGCGTTCTCAATAGCGACGGGAGCGTTAAGATGTTTATTTCTTTAAAAATATGCCATTATATGACCCAGGCCATAGACAGCTCAAGTTTGCAATAAAAAATGATGAGGAACACCCATTTGTACTATTGACCCCGATGACAGTATACCATTTATAGTTACTTTTTGTTTCCGATCGCTTAGATATGAGGAAACAAAATCAATGGCAGATTTTTGAATACCATAATATTTCAATTTCTTAATAAGAATCTTATGATCTACACAGTCATATGCCTTGGAGAGGTCACAGAATACATCAATGGTGCCATGGAACGTTTCCCAAGACTGCAGGATAAGCGAAATTAATTCTACTCCAGCATCAGTTGTAGATCTACCTTCCGTAAACTGATGCTGGTTCAAAATTTCATATTTATTAAAATGAAATAGCATCTGATCCAGCATTATTTTCTCAAATTTTTTACTTAAGCCTGGTAAGATAGAAATGGGACGGTAATCAAAGGCATTTTATCTTGAGCCTGATTTATAAACATGCACAATTTTGCTACATTTCATTAATTTTGGAAATTTGCAAGAATCTAAACATAAGTTAAATATTTGGGCTAATAAACAACAATATCACAGATTATAAGATCTAATGCCCATATTGATAAGTCACATAGGTCTTCAGTTTTCTTTTTATTTAAGTTTTTAAAAGACTTAATAATATCATTCGGAGCTATGTGTGCATTAGAGACACTTATTGGCCCATAGGAGGGCGAAACCTAGCGAAGGCATGTTATCATAAATGTGTGCGATGCCATCGCATGAAGGGTAAGATCTTGACCCTACTTATGGGCAATTTACCAGAGCAGCGTCTCCTTTCAGGTGGCTTTCCTTTTGAAAGAGTAGGAGTTGACTACGCGTGTCCAATTATGAGTGCCTCTCGTCAGGGTCGCGGGTGTCGGATAGTTAAAGTTTATATTTGTATTTTCATCTGCTTTACTACCAAGGCTATTCACTTGGAGTTAGTGGATGACTTTACAAGTAATAACTATTTGCTGGCATTACGTAGATTTATTTCTCGAAGGGGTAATCCCGTTAATATTTATTCCGATAACGGAACCTCACTTGTTGGTGCATACAATGATTAATCAAAATTTTTAAAAAGCAAATGCAACTTACTGAGCGAAAGTATGGCCAATGAGAACATTAATTTTCATTTTATTCCGGCATATACTCCTCACTTCGGCGGTCTCTGGGAGGCGGGAGTCAAGTCGACAAAACATCATTTGCTTAGAGTGTTGGGCAATTGTCACCTGACTTATGAGGAACTTTACACTACACTGACTCAGATTTATACGGTAGTAGGGCCACGCTGCAGCCTCGGCCAATGCACGAATGGGCAGGCCCGTCCGGGTAAGTACCACGACCTCACAGAAGACCAGCCTAAAGTGGTAGTAGAAGTATGACAAATACTTTCGCGTTTCGTCTGGTGAGTGAGGTAGCCGGAGCCCAATTTTCAAAAGGTTGTCAACGCATCTGTAACCCTCGGGTGTGGCAGATGTCCATGGGCGGCGGTATTCACTTAACATCAGGTGAACTGCTCTGCTCGTTTGACAACTTTTCGCATAAAATAAAAATAAATCTTGAACTCTCGACCCCTCACTCCGCTGTCTTCAGACCCTGCAGATTGCACACCACTGACCCCAGGACATCTTCTGATTGGACGGGCATTGACTTCTTTACCACAACCAGACTACCAGCATAGCTCCACTCCCCTTTTAACTTGATTCCAACGCATTGAGCAACTGCGTCAGCATTTTTGGGAAACATGGAGGTATGAGTATGTATCCGAGCTACAGCAAAGGGTAAAATGGCGTTTCTGCAAGGATGTCCTACAGTTAAATCCTTTGGTGGTTATAAAGGAAGATAACCTTCCTCCACTGAAATGGAAGCTTGCAAGAATCGTCGCAATCCATCCTAGGCCCGACGGCATTGTTCGAGTTGCCGACATCAGAACTTCAGCTGGAGTCATCCGGAGGTCGTTCAGTAGAATCTGTCCATTGCCAGTGTCACCTGATTCTGGTTGAAATCGTGGCTTTAACGCCCGGGGGCATGTTAAAGCGCCTGCGTCTTTCGCCCAGGCAATGTTTTCGAGTGTTAGATTAAGTTAATTTTAAGACAGGTTGTTAATCCTCCTTATGTTTTATTATTTACTCTCGTTGTCATTCGTTTTAATACATAGTAAGAATCGTCCGAAGTTAACTATCTAGTTGCATTATTTTAAACCCTTTCCCTATTTAACATCCTTATATACTCCAACACACTATGTTAGACATACTGTAAACAATGCTTTTAATTATAAATACACAAGGAGTATAGTCAAGCACGGTGGCGGTAATATTAAAGTTTGGGAGTGTTTTTCCGGATGTGGAGTTGGACCCGTTCGGAAGATTTAAGGTACAATCGATCAATGGCAATACAAAAACATCTTAGAGCACACAATGATTCCCTACTCGGACGACCATTTGCCTGTAACCTGGATCTTTCAGCATGACAATAAACCTAAACACACGGCCAACAGCGTTAAATGTTTCCTTAGCGAACAGCGTATATCCGATTTAGACTGGCCAGCAAATAGTCCGGATTTTAACCTTATAGAAAATCTCTGACATATTGTTAAAAAGAATGTCTCAAACAAACGTAACACCAGTCAAAACGAACTATATGAAGCATTTGTTGAAGCGTGGAATTCGAATCGACATTCTATCCCTCTAGAAAAATGTACGGAATTTATTGAATCAATGCCACGTCGTTGCAATGCTGTTATTTAAAATAAGAGATACGCCACTAAATATTAATTATAACTATTGGTAGGCTGTGGATAGTAGCTATTTCGTAAATAACAATACGAATTACTAATACATAAAAAAATAATTGTTTTTTATACTTTTTTGTTGTTGTTTCTAATTAGTTGACTATTATTGTTCGTACCTTAAAATTGATTTTAAATGTTTGTCCGTAATGTAATATTGAAACTGCACTGGTGTAATGGGATTTACATTGTTTTTCTAATAAATGACAAATTGTTGAACATATTGTGGTCCTATTTATTGTTTAATTTTAAAATAAAAACGATTGCGGTGAAGTATTTTACATAATGTCAAGGACCGTTGGTAGTGTTTCTAATTATACAACCACCATATATGTGAATCTGGTCCGACTACAGCTGCCGATAATTATAGCATTAAGTTTGGCTTTTGTTTAGCCTTGAGTTGGGGGCTAAATAATAAAGGTTTAAATATTTTTTTTATTTTTAATTCTTGCCAAGAATGATGTACACATTTTTAAATACTAATGAACAATGAATTTAATTTATTGTTTCTGTTAAACTTTAACTAGTGCCGTCTGTGACCTCTATAAAATTCTTATGCTAATATATCCCCAATCGTGTATTTACCGTTTACACGTACAGTTTAGTAACAATTTGTCAACCTTTGAGTACACGTTAAAAGGTCCCAAAAAATTAGTAAATAATGTTAATAAAATAGGACGTAACTATTATTCTTTGGCTGTTTATTGATAATTTTACATTTAAATTTAACAAGCGGACTAGCGGCAACAGGTTAAGAGTGACGTTTGACACATTAATGGTTTACATCGTATCGACAACTTTGTGAAGAATGGCAGAATTAATGACAAAGCTATGGTTAAGTTATAACTACATATTTGATGAATTAGCAGGTTTGTAGATAGGGATACTAATGTGATTTTCTATTGCTAATATCCATAATATTGAATACAAGAAAATATACCTGCACCTATGTATGTACATGAGAATTTTTCTGTCTGTTTAGTTGTACTGTACCTTCTATTACGAAATGTGAAGTGACATGACGTTACATTACACTATAATGTGTTTCGTTCGGTGTATTAGGTTGTCTTTTATGGTCAGGCAAAGACTATATAAGAAGCGCGAGCAATATAATTTCATCACTCACATACACATTTGTAGAAATTCATCCACAAAGATAAACCTAAGATCTTTCATTAAGGACTATTTCTATTTCTTAATCTATTTGCAATCTCATTGAAATCACTCCTTCCTTTAGTAATGAAGTTTTGATTTAAAAATATGTTTCGCCATTATAAAGCATATAAAAATAATAACTATAAATAATTGCGACACAAAGAGCCCCCATGGTCCAAAATTTCTGATTGAAATTGGTGTATTGAAAGTAGGGTCACGCATAACGGTGGTAGGGTCACACAGCAGCCTCGGCTGTTGCACGAATTGTCAGGATCGTCCGGTTAAGTACCACGACCCCACAGAAGGCCGGCGTCAAGTGTAAGTTTAATACTTTCGCATTTCGTCTGGTGAGTGAGGTAGCCGGAGCCCAATTTTCAAAAGGTTGTCAACGCATCTGCAACCCTCGGGTGTAGCAGATGTCCATGGGCGGCGGTATTCACTTAACATCAGGTGAACCGCCTGCTCGCTTGGCAACTTTCACATAAAAAAAAACAAAAAAAATTCTATTAACAGCCCCATTTGATGATAGTGAAACAAGTCCATAATAATCAATGATGTTTTAATTAAGACTGGTGGAAGCCGAGTGGTCGAAATTAGACCATAATTAATTTGAATTTTCAATTGAACAATATTGATCAACTCTCAAATACGACACACAATGAACAAAAGATTATATATGCGTATGTGTGTGTCAAATATATTGTGGTGTGAGTAATGTTTTCTATATTGATTTAACGATTTTTTATGCCAAATTAAAAAAAATATATTAGCATTCTGCACTCCTCAATATCTACTATAAATGTGGAAAATTTCATACTCCTCCGTCCGCGTAATTTTCGTAAAAAGTATACGTAACGAAGTAATACGGAAATAGATAGCATTCTATAGAGTTGCATTTGACGGTATCCATAGATAGAATCGGACCGAACTGAAGAGAAATTACACCATCTGCCGTAATTTGAATGCCTCAGTATGTGTATATAATATCATTGACATTGTTAATAACAACAAAATTACTCATGAAATTAACTTCTTTTATTAATCATTTTGCTTTCAGTCCCGAGACTATTAAAGCTTCATCTGAAGCAGAATAAAAAAAATGGCAATATTTGTCGATATTTTAAATGATGATTTATTGTTATTTATTATTGCTCCTTGTAAACAGATAAACCAGAAAAGATTTTTTACAGAATACTTCTTCACTGTTTTGTATAGAAATAATTGATATGTATATAATTATTGTAAATATGGAAATTTGTCTCGTTTCACATTTTAAATTTATAACATTTCTAAAGTATTAATATAAATGTAGAACTGATTTCAAATAGTTGGAGCGTTGAGGTAAAAGGTAACGGACAAACGTGTATAAATTAGCAATATGTCTGACATTGACATGAATATTTAAAAAGAAAAACTATAAGAAAGAAGAATGCTATCTCTACCTCAATCTCTCTCATAAATACGTTTTTTTTTTTTTCAGTTGAATAAAATATAATTGTGTTTTCAGACGAAAGAACGAAGAAATTATTTTTAGCTGGAAGACCGCTGCCCTTGGTCGTGCTACTTGGGTTTTATTTGATGTTCGTGTTAAAATGGGGACCTTTGTGGATGAAGAAGCGAGCTCCTTTTAACCTAGAGAAAGTTATTATGCTGTATAATGCCGCTCAAGTAGTTTCATGTGCATATACATTTGTGAACGTGAGTTTGTACTATGCTCTTTCAAAAAATTTAATGATAAATGTATCAGAAGGTTCCGAATAGGCCCGAATAGATTGCAGATGATCCCGTGCCTCTTTCACGCATCCGCAGTAGCATCTACTGCTCCAGCGTAAAGGGTCAGTTAGATAGGAGCTGTGAAGTGATTAATCCTGCAGCAATTTCCACCATCCATGACATTAATGTAATCGATGGACGTTAAAATCTCTTCTATAAATCTCCACTAACCGTGCGGTGACGTAAATTTTTAGAAAATTTATCTATTATATGCCCATTCAAAAGTTCCCTATTCATCTCCGTAGGCGATCAAGTTAAGTGTTTACAACTTATTCATATAAATATCTAATCCAATCTTGAAGCGCGTAAGAGATTCGCTTTTCTTATATATAAATCAAATAGCTGATGCACAAAATTTTCCAAATGAAATAAATCGACAAACGTTTAAACGGTATTTTTTTTAAAAGCCCACTTTGATAAAAGGTGGCAATGCATCTGCAACCCTACGGGTGTTGGAAACATGCATGGGAGGCGGCTGTCACTTACCATCAGGTGAATCACCGTTCTCAGATAGCTTGCCACCTTCTCACAAAAAAAAATAAAAAATCCGTAACCAAGACAAATGTAGTCATCGTGAGGTTTACAAGAAAGTTTTCTCCTTTCAGGGATTGAGGTTAGGATGGGGCTGGCACTATAAATGGGTCTGTGAACCGGTTGATTTCTCTAATAGCTCCAGAGCATTAGAAGTAGCACACTTAGTCTACTTCTATTTTATTCTAAAGATCGTCGACCTCATGGATACGGTTAGTATCTAATTAATATAGTATAATTAAATTTTAATTATATATAATAATTAAAATAGGAATTGATGGAGCTAAATAAATAAGCATACAAATTTCATACAACACCTTTAATTACCAAACAATGCAGTCGAAGGAAATAAAACGTGCAAGTGTAAATCGGGGAAATGAATACGTTTATAGCGCATAAAAATGAATACAGAAAAACAATTGTGTTTTGTCAGCTATATGATCAGTAAGTTTGGTTATTGATATCCATTTAGTTTGACCTACAAAGAAGAGTTCATAATCATGATCCTAACTCTAAATTTACTGATCTTGAATACGAATAGTCCACTTGACCTTGGTGTCAAATTGTACCAAATTTTAAAGAAATCTGCAGTACGCGATCATACATCACCCAAACCCTTAGATAAAAATAAAGTTAAAATCCTCATAACAGATGACTGCCTCCGTTCTTTGGGAGGATATTGAATTAAACAGTAGAGTTTCTCTTGTTTCTTTTTTCAACTTCTCTAACTTAAATAAGTTCTGTGGCAATTGATACATAACGTGTTCGTTAGCAATTTGTGTTTTTCACCATTTGGATACAGAGACCACCTTAACCATTTATTACTTTTGTGGTAATACCTAGAAAGGACTTTTCTAACGTCATTCACAGTATCTTCTCTGAAAGTGAAAGATCATAGCGGCTTTTAAGGGCTAGAAACAAGGTTGCAGAATAAATAGAATCATTAATGGTTATGGGTGTAAATCGTTTTATACATATAACAAATATGTTAACATTGTAAATGAACAATAATACAGGTATAATCTTACACGATTAGTAAAAAGTGCATACGTTAGATTAAACTATATTAAATATTTTTAGATATTTTTTATTCTAAGGAAGAAATTCAATCAAGTTACCTTCCTTCATGTGTACCATCATACTGGTATGGCCCTATTAATCTGGGGTGCAGTTACATATTATCCAGGTAAATTCCTTTTCGCTTAATACTGTCACACCTAATAAATATAGCTTAACGTTTAACATTTTTTTTCCTGTCGGTTTAATTTTGTTTTGTCATATATTGCTACAATATGCTTAGCAATTAAGTACTTATTAAATAACTTCATAATTGCTAAGCATATAACATATGTCATCTAAGTTATTACGTGTAATATTCTAAAACAAAATAAATAAATTAATCAAAGACACTTTATGTTAACTGATATTATTGAAACGTTGCATAATAAGAAAGTACACGGTAGGTAAACAACAGTGCGTATCTCAATAATTGGTAAAACTATTATAGTTATTTACGAGTAATACCTAATTATCGTCGAATTTTTATTCTCACTAAAATTATGCACATTAATTCTAAATTATTAATTGTACAAATATAATTTGTACTTACCTACTTTAAATATTTTTCATACGGATTTTATAGCTGTTTACAGTCTCAGTGAAGTATAACCGAAAGCGATGCGTATTTTTTACAATAGATCCCTCTATTTAACAAATTCAAATAAAATTTAATTAAAGAATAACAGTCAAAAGTAGTTGTATAGCAACGATCTTAATTTTTATAGAGACTAGTGCGTGTGATATATTTGTGTAAGTGATCGTATATAGGTACTTTCTCGGAAATACTTCTACAAATTATCTACGGTGGTAGGGTCACGTAACAGTGTTCGCTGTCGCACGAATGAGCAAGTCCGTCCAGGTTAGTACCACGACCTCACAGAAGATCGGCGTAAAGTAGAAGTGTTGCACTTCTGCGTTTCGTGTGATGAGTGAGGTAGCCGGGGCCCACATTATTAAAGGCTGCCAACGTATCTGCAACCCTGCGGGTGTTGCAAATGTCCATGGGCAGGCGGTTATCACTTAACATCGGAACCACCAGCTCGTTAGCCAATTACTCACATAAAAAAAAGAAAAAAACAGATTTGAAACAGAACTGTAAACTCTTATGGCATATTTCTACAGCTTGTGACTTTAGCTTTAAAAATAGTAAGGGAAGTCCTTGTTGTACCTTTTATTTTAGAAAACACTCTTCATGTCATCCGAGTGTTCCAAAAAACGAAACAGTGTTTTCTACCATTTTCTATACGAGTTTTAGTTTAGTTTTTGTTGTTTACTTTATAAAAGAAAAGTTTTTATAACATATGCACGAATAATTACTTATGAACAATTCCTGAACTAATTTAAATACTACTTCAATTAAATAGAACTTGTTTGGATATAATTACATTCTTAAAAGTCACTTTAAGTCACGAGTTTAGAGTCCTGCGATAAATAAAACATAGTATTAAAATATAGTAAACATAAAAATCTCCAGATATACAAAATCAAAACGGTTGTCTTCCACTTTACTTAACGTTATTAACATATTATTTAATAATCTTTACTAAATTATTTTAATACTTTAGGAATAATCATATTTATTTTAAAGATAGTCTTAATATAAAATTTCAGGTGGCCACGGTACGTTAGTCGGTGTAATCAATAGCTTTGTGCACGTCGTGATGTATTCCTACTATTTTCTAACGGTAGCTTTTCCCAGTATGAAGCGGACGTCCTGGTGGAAGAAATATATAACACAGTTGCAAATTGTATGTATTCTTTTTTTATCATTCGTCGCTATGTTATATCCACTGAATTTACAATTCTTTATTTATTTTTTGCAGTTACAGTTTTTATTCACTATAATCCACATGTGCTCAATTATTTTCAAGCCAGATTGTGCGTACCCGCGGTGGATTGCGCTAGTTTTTCTGCCGCAAAACGTATTCATGCTTGTGCTTTTTATTGACTTTTACATAAATGTGTATGTAAGGAAACCGAAAGCCATAGTAAAGCCGCGTATCATGGAAGTAGGATCAAACAATTTAAGTAGAGTAGAAGAAGATAAAAAAGTAAATGAAGATGAAGCTACTTTTGAATCTGCCATGAAGAAAAGAAAGAATATCCTTGATTTAATAATCAAAGACAAAATTGTGCTGCAGTCATCGGACCTTTGAGGATATGTTACGAATGTTGTATTAAAATTCTGTTATTGTATTTCGTTATTGACATGCATATTACTTGGTTAAATATTTATACTTATTTTCTATGTTATTGTTTTCAGAAATCCTTTCCTTTAATATCTCACACGTGATACATAATAAACACCTAGTTAGATATGTTCACTAGTTAGCGTAACCTGCTAAGCCTTAACCTTCGAAGCCGGGAGTCGTGAGTACGCTTTTTACAAGGAACATCATTAGAAAGAAAGAAAGAAAGAAAGAAAGAAAGAAATTTTCTATTGTTTTGATCTATTTTACACAAAATTTTCGGAGAAGAAATTATGCTGTGGGGGGATCCTCATGGGGATATATATTTGTTATACACACAAGTAACTAACATATTTTCAAGTCGGGTCATACTTTGTCTAATTTGATGACGTGACCTGAGGTAGGGTAAGGGCATCGGAGTCTAACTGTGGTAGGACCACGACACAGTTCACTGTTGTACGAGTGGGCAGGTCCGTCCGGGGAAGTACCACGACCTCACAGAATAGCGGCGTGAAATGGAAGTGTTATACTTCTACGTTTGGTCTGGTGGGTGAGGTAGCCGGGGCCCAATTTATAAAACAGGGCAACGCATGGGCAACGCGGAACAACATCAAGTTATCGTCGTCAAATTAAAATAACGACAGTTAATTAGAGTAATTCTCAACCACAACAAAATTTGATATAGACTGGCGAGACGCTCGTAGCCTTTCTTTATATAAAAACGCGGCGACCATAGACCAATATTGGCCGCAACCACCGCAATCACATCACCATGTGGCGCAGTTGCCGGGTGGATTGCGGGTTCAATTTCTACAAGTGACATCTATTTCTGTGTCCCGCAGATATTTTTTTTGAAACTTGGTATTCGTTCACGTGTAATTTATGTCTGTGAAAAGTCCTTACGGCATAGGTTATCCTTTATTAAGGGCTACGTTTTTACAAAAAATTGTGCTTTCGTGATATCTGTGCCTCACCAATTTCACAATTTTTTTGTGTGTTATGTTGACAAGCGACCTGATAATAAGTGATTCCTGCTGCGCATGAATATCTGCAATCTGAGTACAAAAAATTACCCCGTAGGGGGAAAAGGGACTTGAGCCTTCAACCCAAGCGAAATTTTCAACAACATAAATCATATCCTCAATTAATGAAAATACTTACCTACAATAGCAATACGCAGTTCCTATTCTTTAAATTTGACAAAAACCGGCAAGTGCGAGTTGGACTCGCACACGTAGGGTTCCGTACCATTATCTGTATTAAACTAATTGGTAAGTATCTATAGGTTGCCTTGCAACCACCTCGCATTTGTTGTATTGAAGTTCCCTTTAGTATTTTTTATTTTATTCTGTTTTTTAGTATTTATTTTTATAGTGTAACAGAAATACATCATCTGTAAAAATGTCAACTGTCTTATTATCACGGTTAATGAGATACAGCCGGATAGACAGATAGACAAACAGACGGCGGAGTCTTAGTAATAGGGTTCCGTTTTACCCGTTGCGTACGGAACCCTAAAAATGTATAATAATATACATGTGTCTTTAGATATGTCTTTTTGCTACCGCAATTATTATCATGCAACAGTTCTACCGTATAATAATTTCTATTTACTACAGTTTAACCTGACGTATAATAATATTCATATGACGACCCGAGTGGCGTAGTGAGGAGTGTACCTGCCTCCTGCGCTAGAAGGTGTGGGTTCGATCCCCACTAATGGAAAATATTGTGTGATGAACATAGTGTTAGTTAGTTAGTGCTAGTGTCTGGGTGCTTATATTTATATATATATAGGCTGAAGGCGTAACATTCAGACAGAAAGATAGATATACATAAAAATATGTATATAAATTATATCCTATGTGTTATTATGATGTATACTCTATATTAATGTAAAGTTTCATTATAATCCATTCAGTAGTATTTGCGTGAATGAGTAACAAACCTCCATCCATACATACAAACTTTCGCCTTTATAAAATATTAGTAAGGATAAGGAAGGATTTATTTATTTCTTCTTGTACCACTATTCGTTGCTGAAACAAGTAATAGATTCTTACAATATTATGGAACGTCTATGAGTGTACGGCTTCCTAAAGCACGCGGATTAGGCCAGAAATCTACCAATGGCTGGATTACCTTAATAGTCTTTGATTTTAATACTATCACTTACGTACGCGTGTTTGTATTACTCTCAATATTATCATGTTAGTATAGCGAAATTACAGTGCAAACATAATATTCACATAACTTAGACTTCTTAATGACTAGTAGAATGGCCAAAGAAGAACCTATAGGTCTATTTCTACTCGTTCAAACTCAGTTGACTCTTTCTATAAAATATATTATAGTATTAAGGCATCCCTAATCTTGGCTCGTCATTTATACTGTTTTCTTTTGTGGTGTAATAAAACACACAAGTATAAATGACGTATGCATTTTTATACATATGAGATAGAATATATAATAGAATATATAATATATGTATCTATTTAACATTTGAGTATAATTCTTACAGAACCAAAATTACAACCCCTAATTTTAATGCATTTTTAGGTCATTTTATTTGAGTTTTCGCGTTCAACTTTTTCTCGACCATAGTGATATTCTGTCACTCAGCGCGGTGGCATATAAAGGCATTCATATTTGTAATTGTAGATGAAAACGCCAAATTAGAGCACAATGAATATTACGGTTAAACCTTAAACGCAGTCACATTAGAACAAATTAATAACGAAAGACCTACATAAAGTGTGATAGAGGTAAAAACTTTAAAAAAATATATAAACTCATTCCGAAAGTTTTTGTTGGAGTCTTATGTAAGTATGCGGCATTTATAGTGTTGAAGATTTATTAAAGTTTATTAGTAAAATTGTGAAATTTTAATTGTCTTAAATACTATTATAAACAGAAGAATTACGAAACGTTAAATGTGTTAAATTTTATAAATTACTATACTTTTCGATTTTGTTCAATAACGATGCTAAGATATCCTTAGTTTAGGTAAGCATCGACTTGAGGTAACTTGCACTAATTATCATATTTTCCACCCTTTTCTCGAACAATTTCGATTCACGCTGCATCAGTAAGCGTTCCAGCTGCCCAAAGCTGCGAAAGCCGTTAGTTCCTTAGTTGGGCCTCCGACTGTTTGTGTACTGGAACGCTCCGTCCCAAGGAACGTCCACGGCATCGCGTGCCGGCCTATTTGACGCGTGTTTGGGTCGATACTGCGGCAGTGGCGTTCTGATCTCCCGTCTAGCCAGACCATTCGCCCGCCTCGCTAGTTTTCGTGCGATTTTCACCGAAAGCAATCAACGCGCGGGTAAGTTTTGTTTAACTTGATAGCTCACAGCGCCGTAAGTGAAACAACTGTTCAATTGAATTTCATCGTAAGCTTAATACGTTAAGACGGAACTAAAATAACAGACTATGAACTGAAATAAATTTAGTGTTTCATAGCGGCATCTGTCAAAACTTAATATTTGGTGAAATAATTTGCCACTAACTGTTTTACCGTTCGTTAGGTTCGACGTTTGTAAAAATTACAATAGTTTCTCGTAATCTTTAACTTGGAAAATATTTATAAAACAGGCACAGCCTAAAATAAAAATCTCCTTCTTGCTCTTAATTATATAATGTCATGTAAATATTTATCTCGTGCGTAGAAATTATAAAAAAAATCTAGCAAACTGCAAATAAGGTTTAAATATTAACTAACTCTATACTGCGTTGTTAGTAACACGTAAAATAAATTTTGATGTGGTTCAACTTTTCTTATATTATTTGCCGCTTACTTTATTAATTCATGTTTATAGATTCGTAGACGATTTTCTAAGTGCGATAGCCATTTACAGTAGCGTGTCTGGTTTCGGAAATAAAAATATACATTTTAGTAATATCATAAAGTTATTACACTAAAGTACACTAAGTACACTATTATACCAACAAAATAACTTAACTTACTTAAAGTTAACTTAAACGTTTTTTACATAGCCAAATACTTTCAAGACAGTAAAATTACACACAAGTGTCAATCTGGGCAGTGGCGGATTTTTTAAAATTGTTCATAATATTATTTTAAAACATCGATTTATTATTAATTCATGCATTCAAATGTAATTCAACAAACAACCTTAGTGAATGGAAAAGAAAGAAAAGAAGTCTATTAAAAACAAATTATATGGTGATTAGTTAAACTTATATAAAACAAACTGGCGAAAGATTTTGGGTAAATAAAATACACGTAAATAAATTAAGTACCATATGCAACCGAAAATTTTCATCGCATTATAGTTATGCTCAAGATCGATTTTTATATGTTTTAATTTTATACTACAATTTGGGTTAGCTTGAATGTTTTCGAATAAGTAAAGGATATGCTTTGCTCCCATTTCTTTCAGCGAAAGTACTGAAGGGTTCGTTGATCCTGGGTTTCAACGTATTACAGCTGCTTATCTTGATCATTTAGCAAGTTAATTTCGAAACAGAGGTTGAGTAAAGTTAATACGTTGGTGCCTAAACATTTGTTATCCACCAACGTTATTTTTTATACAATTTTTTTTTTTTTTTTTTTTTTTTATATTTGCTTATACAAACGATTAATTAAAAAAACTAACTCAGAAACATATTTCTATTACAAGACTTATTTCTTCTACTCTAATACTTGTTTCAAATTCTCCTTAATATTTTTTATATCGTTTATAATACATTTCCGCTACCAAATTTAAAATTTAACTCGAATACAACATATTCTTACACTCCATTCATAGTAACACATATTATATACAAATTTTGTAAGTTATCAGTTAATGTTAAAATTATTATTATTGAAATGATACCATCAGATTTTTGCTTCTCGCTAAAAGTATCTCAAAAAATAACTAGTGCTTACAGCCCTATTCATTTTACGTGTAAATAAAGAATGTTACAAATCTCTTTTGAACACGCTAACCTTTCAAAGT